AGTTATACAATTAAACAGCGTAAATTAATAGGCCTACATTCTCTATCTGTGTACATTCAAACGCCATACATTAGCAAACTCTTCGTTCTATGTTCTACCACACAATTAAGCTATAGTTATACAATTAAACAGCGTAAATTAATAGGCCTACATTCTCTATCTGTGTACATTCAAACGCCATACATTAGCAAACTCTTCGTTCTATGTTCTACCACACAATTAAGCTATAGTTATACAATTAAACAGCGTAAATTAATAGGCCTACATTCTCTATCTGTGTACATTCAAACGCCATACATTAGCAAACTCTTCGTTCTATGTTCTACCACACAATTAAGCTATAGTTATACAATTAAACAGCGTAAATTAATAGGCCTACATTCTCTATCTGTGTACATTCAAACGCCATACATTAGCAAACTCTTCGTTGTATGTTCTGCCACAGAATAAAGCTATAGACACAATCCAACAGCGTACATTCTCGATGTTTTAACTTCAAACACCAGACAGTGTGGAGCCTGCTGTGTTCTAGGTCGTAGCACTCATAGCACGTGCTCCCTCCCCTATTCTATATCCATTATAATAGAGTCTGCCGTCTGCATCTTGCCTTCGCCTTCTGTTGGTTATCGATCGTCTCATCCCAGGTCAATGTCTTAACAAGCCCTGCGACCGTTAACTTATCACTTTCATCCAGCTCCTTATCAACCACAGACTTTTGCCAATATACGTTTAGCTTTGACCTTCAATTTTAACATCCTACTACTTTTAGGGTAACTGGTCAAATGTGCTTGGATAACTTGGATTAGTACTAACATAGTCATGAGAATCAGACCACATGTGTAGTTTGTAGTACATTTGTATGTAAATTGGTTTTATGGTGGGAATAAAATACTTTTGAGTCGTCATTTTTTAAAGCTTTGGGAACTATGCAATTTTGTTTAAGATAATACGGCTCATATCAATTTCTATCGAAGTCATCAGAGAATTTTTTTAATTAGCTTTTTGAGTTATTTTCAATCAATTAATTATTCAAGATGGAGACGCCACTATGTGCGTTAACTCCTTCCTGGTTTGTGTGTATTAACTATAAAATTTAGTTGATTATAGAAAAATCACCATTAAAATCAAAATTTCTGTCTGGTTAGTTGCCAAATACCTTACAAAATTTCATAAACAATCAGATCACAAGGTGTAGTCTGCACACAAATCAATTTGAAGGCCCAAATATTAGGATACTTCCACCCAAAACTCAACCTCAACAGTTTTTGACGAAAACATAGTTTCTCCACATAGGTAGGTACAATTTATATGGAAAGAAAGTAAAAACTGAATTTTGATCGTTGTGGAAAATTAACCTATTTTTGATTAGTTTGGTAACACGCAACAATACTTTAGTTGAATCTGGGGAAATTAAGATATAATTTTGTAATTTAAGTTCTAAAAAAATATCTGGACAAATATTGTTTCAATGAAGAGAAAAACACGTCCCTTTATTAATCGTGTGAGTTGATTTATGAATATTGAATTTCCCTTTTAGTTACATAAATTTTCCAAAACACCTTATTCTTTAAAGTAGGCCTATTTTATTTTATAAAGTAAAGAGAACTCAGAAAGAGGATTTCTACGGTTTTTTTGTTTTAAGTCAATAAGATTATTTTATACCGTAATTTATTTTAGCGAATTTCCCTATAGGGAAGTAGCTATTACCGTAGGTGGCACGGTAAGTCCTAGACCCGGGACCGATTTACTTTTTCATTTGTTTGTCCCCAGAGGCCAAAAACACCATTCGTTCAAATTTTTATATATGTATATATATCTAGATTTATATATATATATATATATATATATATATATATATATATATAACGCGATAACTTGAGTAATTTTTGTCCGATTTTGATGAAATTTGGTTTAAAGGTGTAAAGCGGGATAAACTTGAATGAGTGCGCGAACCAGCATGATCGGACAATGGGAACGGGGCTTTACGGGGGGTTTTATGGGGTAAAAATTGGTTTTTCTCACTTTTGACCCTCAAAACACAAAATTTCCCAATTTCTCTTTAGACCTTTTTAAAGAGCTTAAAAAAACAAATAATTTAGTATATAAAAGTATTTTTGTTCGGTTATTAGTAACGGAGAAAATTGATAAAATTGTAAATTTAAAATTTATTATTCATATGGAGAATGTTGTCAAATGTTGTAGTTTGCTTGTTTGTGGATATAATTTGATCAAACTTGGCAAATTTATTTATTTTGTACTAAGCTATCAATATTTTACTAAAAAACACACTTTATTAGTTTCCTTGTTGCAGCAAATCTAGGTACTCGTTAAACCTAATGTTATTAAAATATATTTAATTGAAAATCAATTCAGACAAATGGAAATTCGATTAGTCAGCAGGTTTGCTGCGGCGGGGGTATTTTATCTCAGTGAGATTTTGGAGCCAATAACGAGCTTGTTAAAGACTAAAAATGATTTCTTTTGGGGACCAACTCAAGAAAAAGCTGTTGTCACTGTAAAACAGATTTTATCGTCAGAGCCATGTTTGACTGTTTATGATCTGGAAAAACCCTTGAATCTATCTTGTGACGCTTCAAAAAAGGTCTTGGAGTGGTTTTACTTCAAGTTGAAGGAGAAAACAAGAAACCTGTGGCATATATATCTCAGACTCTAACGCCTGCTGAAGTAACATTGAGAGAGAAGCGCTTGCACTTTGGCGAGTGATTGTTTAAAATATTTCCTGATGGGTAAAATATATACACAAGTGATACCGACCACAAACCGCTTGTCTCAATTTTTAAGATGAGCTCTCACCAAGGCTACAGCGATGCAGAATGCGTATGATGAGGAACAATTATTGCATGACCCTAAGAACAGACCACTTGCCATAGCAGATCTGCTATCGAGATGTCCTATTCTGGCTAATGAAGATGGCGAATTTACAGAAGTGGAAGCCTTTGTCCATGTCTGATTAGTATAAACACTACAGACGAAAATGTGACAAAAGTACTTCACTCACAAATGAGAGATCCAATTTGTGCACAACTTAAGATACGAATTATGGACAAATAGCCTGGAAAATCAAGTTTACCTAATGAGATTCAAGAATACTTTAACATGAAAGACGAGTTAAGTTGTATTGATGGGTTATTGCCTCGAGGGACTCGGATGATAATGCCTCAGGAACTACGAATGGAAATGCTCCACAGAGGCTTCACAGTGGACACTTGGGAATCACAAAAACAAGGAAACGTGCTTTGGGAACCATGTGGTGGCCTGGAATTTCTCAAGAAATAGAAAGGAAAATCAAATCGTGTCCAGTGTGTATTCAGAACTCAACTAATCACAGGGAACCGTTGATTCCGAGGACTGTCCCGAACTATCCGTGGCAAAATGTGTCTGTTGACTAGTTCAAACACAAAGACAAGTGTTATATGGTTATTAAAAACCACTACTCAAAATACTTTGAAGTCGAGGAAATGTATCGAATGAGGGCTTCAGATATGAATTGGATTTTTTCTATTTCAAATTATGTTAAAAAAAAAATGTAAGATAGGCCTAGTGTTTTTTGATAAATTTGAAAATGACACATGTTAAAGAATGTAATCTAGGATGTAGGCCTACACAATAAAAATTTCAAAGTGGGATGATGATAGGATCAGCAGTTATGATAAAAATACTCGACGATGGTTCACTGTTTCCAAGCATTTTGGGGAATACAGCGTGTTCAAGTACTAATGTAAATGTATCAGTATAAGAGTTGATTAATTATATGATAAAAATTCAAAAGACATGGCTATTCATGGATTAGAAATAGAACATCAAGTATGAATGGAGAAAGCTTAAACCCAGAATCTTCTTGGTTTCCTTAGCTTTGCCAAAATCAAACAGGCAGCCGCGGCAAGAAACGCATCCTGCTCAGTGCTCACTTGACCTAGGACTGACTGCTAGGCCAGCACTATGATCACTCAGCCCAGTTAAAACACGACGCTCATTAGTCATTACACGTTCTAAAATTGTTAATCGCATAATCAAGGCTATTCCACGGTTAAGCATACAACTCTGTCAACAATAATAAGCTTCAGAAAGACCAATCGATATGATCCTTTTCAACTTACACACCACTACAGCAAAACAAACTTAATTAACAATCCCAAGAATTAAGTTACCATTAATTTAAAAAAAAAAACTGTAACTAACTGCCACTTATGTAAACAATATTTAGTTTACTAGGTGACCAACCTAGAACTAGGACTAACTTAATGGTGATTGATTTCTAAACAGCAAGGTTATAGTGGTCAGTTGGGTCTAACTTAGGCCTAATTGGTGGCTAAACAAAAAGCCAAGTGGTGCGTAGGTGGGCAAGTTACTATTGGCAATTCCCAATTAAATTAAGCTCCAATGGCTTAGATGGAATACGATATGACAAAACTGACGAATTTGTATAGACTGTCCATCATAAAAATCATAATAGGCTAACTTAGGTACTTAGGCTAATGCTGCTTTCGATAGTACTGCCCATTCAACTGTATTTCGCCCATTTTGTCCTTTGTATAGCATGCCATTGTGTTAATTATGTTTGTGTTGTTTTAGAAAGACCTTGACAATGACCTTCTAAACAAAATGTAAAATGAACCAAATGTAATTAGCTTATGACATGTAGGTACTTAGGATAAGAAACTTTACACGTATATTTTATGTATAAATGTAATTGACGTAACCAATACCAATGCATGTAACTTATGTAGGGTAAATCTGGTTAAATAAATGACTTATGACCATGGGCGGGGGGGGGGGGGAGGGCAGTTCCCTGTGTAGGCTGAAAAACTATACTACAACTTGAGCTAAACCTAAGTTGTATAAAGCACAGGATTACTTTCGACTCCACAACACAAACACCTCACTAAAACCAGGCCTATACTCCTCGGCATTCAGTTAAATGACTACAGGTTCAGGTACTGCTGCTGTCAGAATTAGGTAACTTCCAGCATTGGACTTACCTGAATGATTTCTTTGACTTTATGAACATCTTGGCTGACTTATGCAATCCATTGACACTGGTTGGTTCCATAATTTAGAAGTTCACTAGTTTCACCGAAAACCGAGATGAAAACTCACATTTTAATATAAAAATCACAGAAGTTAGTCCCGATGCAGTTCAACACACCCCCACCATACCGAATTTACCACACACACACAGTAAGTTATCATTATTGTTGATTTTTAACTATAAACTAACAATTATAATTACGTTAGATTTAAGTCAGTCATACTTGTATTATGTATTAATTTATTTTCACACAAACGCGAGCCTGTCGGCTACGACCGATCGGCGCTGCTCTTCTATTCTATTCAGTCAGTCTTCAATCAAACTTCACTTCACTGTCTTGTCCTTCTGTCCTTTGATTTCGCCAGGCCTGGCTCCCCTGGCGCTGGCAGTCGGCGACCGGGATCGGCTCAGCGTTGTTGTTTTTGTTTTTACCCTACCTTTGGCGGGTCAAGTTGCCATTACTTGAAAACACATGACTGTCAAGCCAGGTTGGCCAACAATGAAAAACCTGAAGCGAAACAACTATGATTGTTCACTATATGAAACACCTTAGAAATCTGATCTGTTAGTGCCAGTAAATTAATACCAGCGAACACAGAATAAAAATAGAAGGGCCATGCACTATATACAACCATTACTAAGGATTTTCGCCAGTCCGCCAACTTTGGGGTGGCATCAAGTTGAAAGTAGCGCTCAGAAACGGAGAATTATGTAGTGCGCGCTTTTCATTTAACACCGCTGTTAGACAAGAGTCAAGATAACAATTTGAAACTCATCACAATTAAACGATATTAAATGTGGATGCTAATTATAATAAACATAAACTACATAAACATAATTGTAAATGGAGTGTATTGCATCTTCATGCATAAAAATGAGATCATGAAAACACAAAGTTTGGTCGTTACCAACGTGTATTTATTTTTAGCGAATTTCCCATATAGGGAATAAGCTATTACCGTAGTACTCATGGTAAGACCTGGACGCGGGACCAATTTTTTTTTTCGTTTTGAGGTCCCTAGAGGCCAAAAACACCATCCGTTCAAATTCATATATATATATATATAAATATTTATATATTTATATATATATATATATATATATATGTGTGTGTGTGTGTCCGTCAGCACGATAACTCGAGCAAAAATGATCCGATTTTGATGAAATTTGGTACAAACGTGTAAACGTACGTTTATTCGAACGAATTCGCGATCCAGCATGATCGGACCATGGGAACGGGGGTTTACGGGGGGTTTTATGGGGTAAAAATAGGTTTTTCCCATTTTTGACCCAAAAAACATAAAATTTAACAATTTCTTTCCAAACCATTTTGTAGAGCTTAAAAAAACAAATAATTTAGTATATTGAAGCGTTATTATGCGCCTAATGGTTACGGAGAAAATACCAAAAATTGTACATTTAAAATTCCCATGTTATTCTTATGGAGAATAAGTAAACTGTTGTAGTTTGCTTGTTTGTGAACATATTTTGATCAAATTTGGAAAATGTTTTTATTTCTTACTAACTATTCACATTTTACAAAAAAAACAGTTTTACCCTCCTTGATGCAGCAAACCTAAGTACTTGTTAAACTAATTCTATTTAAATCAAGAATAAATGTTATATTTTTAAGTAGACATTTCAGTGTAAATCCAATCAGTCAAATGGAAATTCGCTTAGTCTGCAGGTTTGCTGCGGCGGGGGTATTAAATAATGGTTTATTACTGTATTGCGTAGCTTATTTTAGAAGCTTGAAAAATATGCTAGCTTCATACAAGCTTACAGCCTTAATATTCAACCGAAGAGTACGGCATATATTTGTTACTGATTTTTAATTTGTATGAAATAATCGCACTACTATAATTGAACGAATATTTTGACAGCGTTTTTATGATTTATCTATGGTTTTATTTACACGTGATAAAGCATCGGCAACAGTGTCTTCTGAGTTCCGATGTGTTTTATGCCTGTAGAAAACTCGGATATGAATGAAAGCTGACGTAGTTGAACAGTTGGCAGTTTCTCACGACGTTGATGAAAATCAAGATGGAGTGGCTTATGATCCGTAAAAATGGTAAATACCGTGGTTTCCAAAAAATGATGAAAATGCTATACTACTTCATACACAGCTAGAAGTTCACGGTAGTACACCGGCCAAGAGCTTTATTTGCTTTCGTAAAAGTTTCTTTAGAGAAGAATCCCAGTGGCTGCCAGGAATTTCCGTCAAATTGTTAAAGAAAAGCTCCTACACTAACGTCAGAGGCGTCTGTAAACCGTCCAAGAGGGGCGTCATGTTTCAGATGATAGTGTCACTGACGACAAGCTAGACTTGCAAGCTTGAAACGCTTCCTCAGTCTCTAGATTCAAAGGTACAGGGAGTGATCCCTTGCTATTTGTATGACCAAGCAGAGAGTGTAAAGATGTGTGGAGTTCTGCGGCTTTAGGTAAGAATCTACGATAGAAATTGATCATACCTAGGAACCGTCGAAGACCATACGCTACGCATTGTCTTAGGTAGTCGGTACTCACGAAGAGCAGATATTCGGTCTTGTGGAGGGTAGACACCTGATGCTGAAACTCTGTACCCTAAAAACGTCCCTTCAGGCATTGCAAAAACACACTTGGACGAGTTTACAATGTCGCCATAGGAGTGGAGTCTTTTGAACAAAGCCCTATAAGAATAAGATGTTGCTCAATGTTCTTCAGCTTATCGGGAAAACGGCAAAATATCACCAATATAGCTGAACATAAAATCTAAGTTTTCGGCCACTTCAATTCCTATGGGAGTATGTTTTATCTATGGTTAAAACTAAACATTTTAACAATCTAGCAACATTGTTTAATCCGTAGATTTAATCCGTATTCCCAATTCCCACTCTCCAGTCTCCACTCCACTCCACTCTATTCAGTCACTAATAGGTGCTCAGCTCAGTCTCCTCTCTCTCAGTCTCAGTCTCAGAGTCAGTTCGACCGATCGACGGTGGTGTGGTTGGTTCCTCTTCCTTTCTTTGACATTGTCTTGTCATAGTCATTTATTATAATTGTACTTAAGTAAAACTTTACGTTGTTCTGCGCTTCAGGATAACCTTAAACCTTATATAGGCTACTTAGGTTTATAAACCTATTGGCTAGGAATTGCATCTCATAAGGTAGGTCTTTTTGGTTATTGTAAAATTAGTTTTTTATAAAGGCAAACTGTCATAACCTAACCTAACCAACCAAACTTGCTGATACTATAAAAAAGATTTTAGATAATAATCGAATGAAGAGGTCCGATTGGAGGGTTTTTGTCCTCGAGAAGTCTCGTCTCGGCCTCTGCCTCAGCCCATGCCAATTGCTTGAAAGGGAAGACAAACCTCCTGACAGTAGTTGCTAGACCTAGGCCTATTGAGCACATTTCCGCCCATTTTATCAATAAGTTAACAGGCTTGTAGCTGAACGAGATAGGCCTACCACCACTTTAAAAGAAAGGCCTATTGTATCATTGGAGTAAACAAATTGGGGTAGACTTCCGTATCTGTTTAAAAAACAACCAAATGAAAATATCAATGATACATCGATTATTCGATATGTTTGATTATTTCATTTGAAAATTGTTTGGTTAGATTAGGTAAAAAAAAGCTAAGCCAATAGCCTAATTTGTATTTTGCAAGACTTTTGTTTAAGTACTTTTCAATTCTATTAGGCCTAAGTTACCTGTTGTGAAAATGGGTAGGCCTACTTTCCTGTTAAAGGGAACATTCATTATTATCGATGATTTCGGGTACACTTCCATATCTGTTGGCACAAACAACCGAATGAAAATATCGATCGATATATCGTTTGGTTAGTTAGGTAAGGTTAACCTAACCTAACTAACCAAACGATATATTGAATTAAACAATTGAATAATTATTATTAGGCCTACTCATTCGTTTGTTTGTGCCAACAGATATGGAAGTGTACCCATGATTTCTTTTCGCTATAACTTATTGACACTTATAATTTAATTTTTGGTCCCAGATATCGATATTGACAAATTGAAACATATCAGCTGACAACTATGATAAATAAATATTGTTCAGTATCAACAAACATTAAAAAATAATGGAATGAAACTGTTCTAAACTAACCAAACTTGCTCTAAAATTTCAAAATTCCGCCAATTGGGTCTGATGTCTAATGATGATTGGAGTGTCCAATCTAAATCAATCACCATTTATCACCATCAAATAATAACTAACTTACCGGTAGGCCTACATTATTTGAGAACCTTCAAAAATGTTTTAACTTACGGTACCGGTAAATGTAATTTTTAATTAAAAAAAACTACCGGTATTGTGTTAACTTAACTTATATATTTAAAAAATATATATATATATAAGAACTTATATAGGCTAACTTATATATAAAAACTTTTTGTGTTAAGTTATATATTTTTAGAATGGCTTAGAAAAAATGTCACAAAATGAAACCTCTCTTTCATCCTCCTAGCTTGATTTTGAGAGGTGATAGTAGTATAAATAAAGTAATTCATTAAAATTTTGCTTTTGAGCGTAGTTTTGAAACTACTGTAGTTGAAATTTCAAGATGAAACTTGGTATTTAACTCAGATTTTTGTAGGGTATACCAGTAGGCTTTACAAAATTTCTTTGTAGGCTATCTTAGATGGTCAGGTAGAATTACTGTGTTCATTTGACATGGGAATGATGTTGTTTGTCTACATTGATTTTCATTATTTCCCTACTATCCGACCTTTCTACTACCCCTCCTGCCAGTCTCGGTCAGGTAATCAAGTCTGTACGGATTTAATTACATCCTTAAATACACTAACACAGATAATTTATATAATAACAAATATTTAACTTTTCAGAAACCAGAAATATGTCTCTACTGAAGAAACTGTTTCCTACCGTCCGAGCTCAGGAAGAGGAGGAATTAGTGGATCCTCAAGTTGTCCTAAAGGATACATGCTCTGCCACCGACAAACATACCTTGAATTTAAAGACAAGACTTGAGGAATGCAACAGCCGAGTCAACAGCAAATCGCAGACGTCGGAAACATGTACTGAAGAACTCTTTGATTATCTTCATGCCCTTGATCACTGTGTTACGAAAAAGTTATTTTCACAGCTGAAGTGAACATTCAGTGTCCTGGTAGTGAGTGGTCCTGGATGTATTAAGTTTAGTACCGTACCTAAATGTGAGTAAATTATTGAAATAAATTTTACGTTCTGGTTTAATTTTGTAAATTGATTCCTGAATTTTATTAGACAAAATTCCCACACATTTAACAAAACTATATTTAAAAAAAATGTATTTAGCCTGGCATAAAAAATTGATGAAGTGTCCTGATTTTTTTAAACTTCAAAACAATAACATGGGGTGTAGGACTAAACAGTTTTACTTTCTCCCCCTATAACCTACATAGTAAATTAAATGGTTAAAGTTGTTTTTGACAACATTTTCCAGCTTGAGTTTTGGGTGGAAATATCTGTTTTGGGCCCCCTGAACCCAATTAGGCTAAGTGGGTTTTGAATTAATATCTCTGTGTGTGTGTGTCGAATTTTGATTGTTTTGAACTTGACACTGGTTTCCTGGGTCTTTGAAAGCTAAAGGCCATCTTGGATTTGCCGGCTATAAGAGTAATACAGCCAAATTCTGAAGACTATCCCAAAATATTTTTATTTAAATATCTAGGGCGCTAACATAGCTAGGCTTCAAAGACCAATCAATAATCATGGGTAATCAAGTAATTAAAGTGAATGATCATGGCTAAAAAAGAAAAGTTAATTTAGTCATAAACAAAGAGTCATCATACCGGTACCACTTCATTCTACTACAGTAGCCTATTCTAGTCAATGATTCCATGTCTTCTTTAAAAGTCTGAGTAAATTGATTGCTCTTTGGATATCCCCACATTTTTTTTATTTAAAAAGACGTCCATTTTAAAACACATTTTTTACTAGGCTAACTCGCTTTCTTGTCTATTCGGTAGGCTACAAATTTTGCAATTGGTTTCAAACTAACTTTCGGATAAGCTAGAGCGACTTGAAAATTGAAACATAGATCACAAATGGATGACAATGCAATATTATATAATTTTATTTTTCATATTTCTCTTGGACTACGCCCCACGGGCTTCCAAATTTTCAATGTTTACATTTTGTAAGACTGTAATATGGCTCTGACTTAGGGGAGGTACGATTGAGCCATTAGTTCAAAATTCCTCCGTGAACAGCGCTGTAGTAGAGAGCATTTTGGCAATGAAGGTTTACTAATCGCAAAAATAGTTCGGTTCATAAAATAAAATTATAAATGCCTCAAATTCAATTTTATAATTTTTTTATTATAAAATTACTATCATAACCTAACCGAACTAACCAAACTTGCTGATAATGAAATAATATAAAAAAAGTTTATTAATAGAAAAAAATAATTCTTTTCATTAAATAAAACTAAAAATTGCTCAATTAAAATTGTATAATGACTTAATAATAAAATTAAACTGTCATAACCGGACCAAACTTGCTGATAATGAAAAAATCTTAGTCAAAAAGTTAGTGCCACCAGTGGGATTCGATCCCGGGACTCTCAGCATATCAGCCCGGCACGCTAACCACTAGACCACCGAGGCCGATGGCTGAAAACCGTATTGTTACGCTAATGAGAAGCCCACAGCTGTCATCGTAACCTCATCTATACTAAAGGTGAAGATATTAATTGTAAATTAGCTATTAAATAACTTCTTGATCAGCATTGTTCGTGTTATTAAATTTACGGAGAAAGTAAACAAAAGAAACGTCTTATAACACTTAAAACATATATTAACGCTTATACTGTTAGCCTACTCACAATACGGTAAATGTACAAAAAAGATGGTAGGCTAAGTGGTGATCTTGTGAGTAACAGTATAAGCGTAAATATATGTTTTAAGTGTTATAAGACGTTTCTTTTATTTACTTTCCGTAATAAGCTATTGTATGCGCCCACGTTTTTCTTATTATTCTTAAGTATTTATTCTCTCCACATATTTATAAATTATTTTCTGCTTTTTAGTTTATTATTAAAAAAAATGTGGATTTTAAAAAGCTTTTCTACATATTTATAAATTATTGATTTAAAAACTGGCAACAACTCAATCGTGGAGATGGAACATCAGGTTCGATCAATAGTCAAAGGTTAAACATAAAAGTTTAAACTTTTAAGCCTAGATCAATAAAACAACGGATCCACATTAAACTTTTAATAAGTAAACGTATGTTAAAAAAAGGTAGAAAAAAAGGAACAGAACATTTAGCATCTTTGCTTAAGAGTAATTTACATTCATGGTAGCCTAAACAGGTATTTCATTTCTTGAAATTTTAGTGAAGCAGCCTGTGAAGTTAACATAAAAATTGCTGTATTTACTAAATCCGTAGGAAATTTTAGTGAAGCAACCTGTTAAGTTTACTTAATTTCAAGAAATAAATCATTTTCTCAGTTCTCCAAATTAAGAGCCACGGTTCAATTCGTTAAAACATTAAAAAATTCAAGTTGTGGTTTCAGAAGATCCATTACGAATACAGCAAGTAGCAGTTGTAATTCTTTAAGTCACGAGTGTTGCAAGTTAGTTATCCTGTTAAACTCAAAGAATATGTATAATCTGTTGAATCGTGATGTACATTTTTCAAACTAAACTGTATTTTAAATACATAACAGGGGTTTCTTAAACGATAAGAAGGTACACTCTGTGATACCACAGGTCTATTGTTATGCGATGTGAGTGCATAATGTAAAGCAGCTTGTGTGTGTCCGTGTGTGTGTGTGTAACTGGTTCAAATTACACCAGCTTGTTAATTTTATACAGTTAAACTTATTTCTGACTTCAACTCATCACAATATTTGTTTCATAGTTTTGTACAGTTTTCTTTGATTCAGGTCCTAAATTAGGTGAAATACCCACATCTAATGAAAATTCACTGAGTTTCTTTTGATACCATGCAACAGTTTAGTCTTCTTTCTTTCAATTAATAATTAATATCAATTTAATCTTATTGTATTAATATGCCTACTTATTATTACCAATTCATCATTTCTAGCTATGGTATATATTATATTCGTAAAATTGTCATGTACTTCTCAGACTTTTTTCGATCAGCCTATATGGAAGTTAGTGTTGAACGAAATCAAATTATTGGGACTAATGCTTTAAGCATCTAAATTTGTTAGATTGTATGGAATAAAATACAATACACATGTTTTATGTACCCTTAATCTGATCCGCGGACATACAATACAACTATTTCATATTTTCAACAAAATCCCACTGTGTAACTACTGGGTTGTCTTTTTGTAAGATACCCACAACAAACAATAAACAATATGGCTAGGCCAACAGGATCGTAATTAAATTACTTAAAGGCATTTTCTATTTTAACATAAAAAGTGGCTATGATAGAGCTAGATTTAAGTAGCTATTATGACTCGGAAACCAACCAAAAACACAAGGAAAATACCATGGGTTGGTTTTATTTAGTGATTTTTATAGAGGGCTACATTATTTTTAAGAATTTTTTAAATGTTTAAACAGCATTAATGCATTGCAAATAAAATAACATCACATTATTTTGATGTGATATGACTCAATATCAACCAAAATTTACTTATTAAAAAAAGAATAATTTCAAGGCTCACAGTATAATTTTGGGTACAATTTTTAAGAATGGTGGTGTCTTCCATTTTGGCTGAAATATTATACCTTATCACAATAATCGAATAGAACCTGCATAAACCAATTGGTAATATTTTAATATAGTGCATACTATTTGAAAGAAATACAACACAAACATTAGGTTAAAACCTCATTATTCACAAAATACATAAACAATGAATCCACAAAATTAATTAAAAAAACATATTTTGTTCAATCAATTTGATCATTTAAGGCAAGTGAAAGTTTAAAACATTATCGGTCTCAATGCTGTGGCTTAACGTAGGTTATTTAAATTAACATTTTTAAAAGATACCCTCAGCTATTCATTTAATTTAATTCATGTCACTATATAATCTGTATTTTTTCATTTTTATAGTTAAAATTATTAAATAATTCTAATTCAGACTTATAATGTACATTGTTTTAGTAAAATCTTAAAAGTAGGTAGTCAACTATTTAAAACTACCTTTTGCTGTGAAAATTCTTCATGCTATTAGGGTTTTTTATGAGACATAAAATTCCTTTAACACCGTAGACCTTGATTTACCAAGGTAAATTATGAGAGTAAAAAATCCTTTTTTACTAGATAGCTTACATAAAATATATAGCATAAACTAAGCTAGTTATATGATATAGCTTAATTTTTCTGAGGCAACTCAAATTATCAGTACCTATTGTTTATGTTTTAAGAATCTGGATACAAATTGTTACTTTGAAAGCTCTTTGACTAAAGTCACTGAATTTTATAAAAACTTCCATAACCAATAAACACCCTGTAAAAAGTGACTTTTTTGTGGTGCTTTTCAACTTACTTGGTGTATGTACTTTTCACTCTGTAATTAACTTTAAATTCAGTGTCACAGAAAAAAATTAACGATTGATAAAATAAAACATTTAAAGTAAACTTTGAAGGCTTTAACATCTATATTATAAACATTAACAAATGCTATCATCTACAAAAGGAGAATATATGCAAAAGATGGAGTTCGGCTTGCCAACCTGACAAAATGTTAGTCCAGGGGCCTTATACAGAAAAGATTTGACCATTTACATAGTACCGGTACCCTTAACTCTAATTTTCTTGGGTATAGTAGCGGAACTCAATCTCTTACCAACAGAAACGTTATCAGCCACAAAAAATGTTCTTAAATTCTAACTCTATTCGAGATTAAATTCACTTGTAATCTTTTGTACTTAAATAATTAAATTCTTTCATTTATTTGTGAGCTTGAATGTATGCAACGTTTAAGAGTTATTTTTCACTCTAAAATCAGATCTACATTTTTACTGATTGGATCTAAGACATTTAAACAAAAAGATTGTGTACTTATATACACTGAATATGGTACAGAGAATTATTAATGTCAAGATGAATAGATAGAGTATTGGTTTTGGTCCATTCAATTGAAAATCGAAACCAAATCTTTTGAGAATTTTCCCAAACAAAATAGGTTGTGTCTAGATCTTTAAGGGGTGTAAAAGGGGTCCAGATAGCTGTAAAAGGGGTGAGATGGTACAGTACGAAAAATTAACAAATTCATGTCTTTCTATATGGCATTAAATATAGAATCATACTATGCCTTATGTGTTTATTTGTGCCATTTTAGTCAGTAAGGTAAGTCTGCTGTTAAACCTTCCCATTCCAAAATCCTTTAGATAAACCTTAACCTAAAGCCATCTATACAAAAAACATCATAATAAATGAATGTTTTAATATTAGGATACAAACACTTAATTCATGCAGTTTAGAAAGATACCAACTTAAAGGATGAGTCACAAATTCCTAAAACCCTCGATAAAATATGCAGTCCAAGCGAGCATAATTCTCGATTACCAAACAGATGAGAAATTGCAATAATTTCGATGGTCAAAATCTTTCAGCATAGAACCACCTATCTATTCATCTTAAAGCGAACGGGCATGTACAACAATTAATTATCTATTTAATTTATTGTATAAAAAGACTATAGTTTTAAATACACTCCAAACATTTAGTTCATCGGCCAATACTTATGTACAATAATTACACTATACAAGCCCAAAACATTAGGTTACCTTTTTCACAAGCCTTTTAAAATACTTACAGTATTTTCATAACAAATCAATTTTTATCGAGTGAATATCAACAGAATAGTAAAACATAAGATAATTGTTCCTTGAATTCAAAGATCATTTGTCTATCAAATGTAACAAAAAAAATTCCTATAATTTATTGTAGGTTGATAAGTTACTCAGTAAAACATTTTTGTGATTGATTACATATATTTGGTAGTTATGCAATGTAATTTTCACAAGTCTGTTATTTTTCAAGAAGATTAACCCTGTGGGAGTTATGACTTAACTGACTGTCGTCTTTCAAAGCTTTACATGTTAAGACTATTTTTTTTTATTTTTTATAAGTTTTGAATATTATTAGGGAAAGGATACGGGTTCTACCAAAGCACCAAAAAGCGTAAAGTGCTTACTATGGAATAATGAGTTAATAACAATAATAGCCATGTATAAGACATATTACATGCCAGGAAGCACCTATGGACCGGGTAGATGGAATGAACAAGAAAAATAATTGATCAGAATACAGGCTGAAAAAATTAGATTCTTTTGATTATAGAAAGGAAACAAAGTTTGTGATGAAAAAGGGAAAGGACTGTTGAAGAGATAAGGATTTACCGAGGCAAGACTCAAAGATGGTTTTGATAAGTGGAAGGTTTAAAAAAAGTCACCTTTCTTGGTTGAAAATAACTAAATGTTACTTAATTTGAATTCGATGACAGTCGTGCAACTCATAACTCTTGACACAACCACAGCCTATAAGCTTTTTTTTGAATGAGAATCAATCATTGCTTGATTTGTAAAAAATGAGGTGCCGGAACTGTAACCTATTTAATATGATTAGTAACTATGTCAATATTTTTATCTTTCCAAAAGAGAGGTACCGGAACTCCGTACCGCCCCGTTCCTCTGCAAATCGAGCAATGGAATCAATTGTGTCTTTTAGATAGTCTTTTAGACTTTTGGATAGTCGTACATAATATTACTACTGTAATGCATTATTCACCAAAATGGCTCCATTAAAACAATTTAAATCTGCTTCAAATCAAACGAAAACTGAACGTAAAAAAAACTTGATACATTCAAGACCCCTGAGATTCAGAAGTGAGATAGTAAATATTAAAAAACTTTAAGCTAACTGTTCTGCTAATATAGCATCATATTTTGTCAGACAAAACAACTTACGCTAACAGTGGAGTAGTTGTAGACCCTTAAGCTATGTACACAACTATGAAACTAGGTCCCAGTCTTGTAAGGAGTGTACTTTGGTACTCGAAGTTTTATACTCCGTTCTTGTCTAGTACAAAGTTTCAGCCTAGTACTCTCTCTGAACCGTCTGCGAGAACCACGGCGTTACGTGACTCCACGAGGGAAACTTAGACAGGAATGTTTTCATTTCCATGGTGAATTGTCTTTCGTCGTGAAGATATTGGCCGATGGCGACAAAAGCGGCCAGAGGCACCTGCACCTCGCCTTCACTCTGGAAAGTTACAGTCGTAATTTAATAGTGTCCATCATGCAGCAAGTCTATTATAGTGCCAATTTATAATTTTAAAATCTTCCTATTCTTGAAAAATACAATCATCCGTGTTATCCGAATGGGGTTCGGTCCCAACTGATCCAAATGAATGGTGTTCTACTGTAATTAGTAATTTTAGTATCTGTTATCCAATAAAACAAAATCACGGCAAAATTTTTGCATAACAATTAATTGTTAAATTAGAACTGACTATTTACGTCAGTTTTTGGTTTAAGTTTTTTGTAAAAAAAATGATAAAAGCGACAACCGACCCATCCCTATGAACTATTTTTTACGTACTTTCTTAGGTACAAGAAATTAGTGTTTTCTCATTTTGAAAATAGTATCAAAATATTTACAATCTTACCAAAATATAGAAAAAAAACTTTCAATATAAAGGATTTATGATTTTTTTAATAGTCAAAACTTGCGTTTTTTTAAACACGCAAATAAACCTATTTAATTTTTCCCATGCAGGTTTGTGGCAGAAATATGAAGAACCCCTGCCACCCCCAGTAAATAACCTCTAACTCCGCCAGAAGGGTAAGTAAACTTATACCAACCTGGAGGTCAAAGTATACTGGTGAAAGTGTTGTGTGCAACCCTCGCACACAACTGACCACGTAGGCCGGCCTCGTGTCCCATGTAGCTGTTGGTGTTGGAGGATCTTTCCCACTCTCATTGAACGACCACCCGACCAACTTGACGCCTACTTTCGGCCACACTATCAGGTGCATGTGGTCTGGCCCTGTCAACAGGAAATCAAATGTTTTCATGACGATGTATTAAGCAGTGGTAACTTTTTTGACAGATTACAGATCCAAAAAAGTATTCAACTTAAATTTACATCAATAAATAATACCATGGATTAAACATACTCTCCCTGTAATCTTTAACAATTCTTACACATCTGTAAGCAGCTGCTCTCCTAGGTACTGGTACATTTAATGGTACGTTAATTCACAAACATAATGAACAAAATTGCCTCTCCCGCCAAGTAAGAATCACTTTCTGTGGTCTCAGTGGTAAACCATTATTCAAGTCCATCACCACTTAACCCCCCAGTACACGCGCCGCGGACTCAGAGTCAGCGCATTTGCAAAGTGCGCCGAAATAAGTGAATATACGAGCGAATGATTAGACGTGCCATCTACCTTCACCCTTTACCTTTCCAAGGACAATGGCAGTGTTTTGACTGTCTTAGAGTCAGTTGGCCCTGAGCTACGAGGTGTAAAGTTGGGCGTGTCATGTTTCAAGAGGATGAAGAACAGGCCAGCGATTGACTGATTGGTTTTCAACACAACATATTCAATTTGAAATATTATTTTTAAATTCATAAATTATTTAAGATGGGGTCGCCACTATGTTCGTATTTTAACCCAAATATGAGTGAAAGATGATTGGTGCGATCTTGTAGTCTTGTTAGTGACTTAGGCCGACAAATTCCTTAGACACAGCTGTTAATTAATAGCCCAAACAGCTAATGGCATCTAAGGGACGTGCAGTTTAAAGTGGAATCCGAACCACATTCTTGCCTTAGTATTAACGAATTGGTAGTATCAGGATAGTACTGCGGATAGTCGTAGTACTCACTAGTGAGGACATTAATCCATACCAGGGAGTATCGCACCCACAGTGCATCTCTATAAATATCCACAATTCGTGACCTCCTAGTAGCTGGATTACAGGACGACACCAACGTCCCAGTCTTGTCTATATCTATTTACCTATATTTGGATTATTTGAAATTTTGATGATACATGAACTTTATTAGGTAGGTATATAAAAGAGTGATTTAGTCCACACGTGTGTACTGGTGTAACTAATAGGTGTATAACAGCCACTCAAAATAGTTTTAGAACCAAGGTGTTAAAATGTACAATTTCTAGCCTGCATCCATCAAAAACCTGTGTGTTTCAAAATTTAAACATTTTTTAAAAACTACTCTAACCCAGGCTTGCCTGTATAAACATGAAGAGTACTTTGGTTTAGAGTTTTAGTTTTAGTTACTTTAGTTGATCTTGATTGTTTTGTATTTCTTTTTCTTTGTAGGTACACCCTACTTAGTTTTAACGACAATAAAGCATTTCATTTCATTTCATTTTTTTAATAGCCGAGCGTGTACTGAAGGGTTAATGGAGTAAAGAAGTTATGTGTTTGGTTTGGTTGTAAGAAGTGCATAACATGGATGGAGTTTGGAGATGGTGTCAACAGCTTTGATCAATAATGATTCTGCAACAGGTAAAATTCTTTACAAGTAAAATTACACTCAGTTGTTGTCACTAAATACAACAAGTTTTTTTTTTTTACCATTTTAAAATTAGTTAAAACCATGGAAACAATAAATTACATATCATTTATGGTGGTGCAGAAGAGAACATAAGGATGAAAAGTGTGAGTAAAATCATTAAAATACATAATAAATATTAGTAGCTTTCTTATAAAGTAGTTTAAAAATCTCTATGTGTAGTAAGTATTAAGTATTGTGCTATAATTAATATCAATCTGGTAAAGCGAAACCAAAATTATGCAACGTAAGCAGTACAACTATCGACAACACTGTTTCTCAATCACATCTGAATTGTAGCTCATTGAACGCATTAAGGTGAAAGTTAAACAAAAAAATACCATAAATCCTCCAGTACATTTAACCTCATACAAAAGTTTGTTCGCTGTTAGGCCTTATATTTAATTTTAAACCTACAATTATGTAGGAATTGTATTCTGTTCATTGAATTAAAAGTTCATTGAGTTTCATTTGAGACCATAAATGATATGGTCAAACCTCTTTTTTTAGGTGAAAGGAAGAAACATTAAGCATTATGATATCAGTTTTACAGTTCAGCCAATGTATTACTGTACTGCATTTTGTGTAGTATTACTATCTCTCTTCTTTGTTTTGTCTTAGAATTTCAGAGATAGTTGTAATTCTGTGCCATCTGCATTATTTCAACTAAATTTACTTAAGGTAAAGAGTGATATACATGTTGATGCTGGTGGAAGCTCATCATTTTATGGTAGATGGCACGGGCTGAAGTTTGCAAGATTCTTTGTAAGGTTCTTTGTAAAGATTCTTTGTAAGGTTCTTTGACTGGAGTCTAAACCTTCGCTAACTCATCACGATGTTGTCCCCTGGCACTGCGGAGTGGGGGAAGCACAGCATTCTATTGGCTGAGGGAACACCATTACCACAACGATACGGTAAGTAGCCATCGGCCTCGGTGGTCTAATGGATTACGTGCCGGGCTGACAATGTAAAGGTACCAGGTTCGAATCCTCTCGGTAGCACTAACATTTTGTCTAAGATTTTTGCATGATCAGCAAGTTTGGTTAGGTTATGACAGTTTAATTTGTTAATTAAAACATTATAAAATTCAATTTGAGCTATTATAGTTTTAGTTTAGAACTATTTTTTTTCTATTAGTAAACCTTCGTTCGATTTTTTCATTATCAGCAAGTTTGGTTGGTTTGGTTAGGTTATGACAGTTTAATTTTATAGTTAATAAATTATAAAATTGAATTTAAGGCATTTATAATTTTATTTTATGAACAGAACTATTTTTTCGATTAGTAAACCTTCATTCGATTTTTATTTTACATATTTTTTTATATAATCTGCAAGTTTGGTTGGTTAGGTTAGTTTATGACAGTTTAATTTCATAAATATTCATTTTTTAACTTATTGAAAAACTGCAGCATAGGTTTATGCATGTAAAACAACGCGGGCTTGTTTGGATGCCGTCTAGAGGGGAGGTGGAGGGAGAATCATTTCCCCCACTCCGCAGCGCCAGGGGACAACATCGCGATGAGACAGCGAAGGTTTAGACTCCAGTGGTTCTTTGTTGTTTTTTGGTTGTTTGTTCTTTATAAGAAAAACATTAAAACAGTAGTAAGTTAGCTTTATAAAGTTAAATTCGATAATCCATGGAGTTCAAAGAGATGGATTTTAAAAATCTAGTTATTTTCCCTAAGTTATTATATTTTATGTGGAATCAGAATAATTTTTTAAGGTGAATCTTTGCTTTCATAAATGGAAGCTTGTTGTGAGTTGCTGAGAGAGGAGTTGCAATAAACATGGATTATACATGGATATTGGTAATACATGGACCTAACCAGTTAAATCTAAAAACACACATAGTATTGTGATGTGGAAAGTGAATAGGGACCTCTTGTCGGGAATTTTCGATCTTGAGTTACATATATATTTGAATTCCAAATCACTTGGTGCAAATCCCATGCATCTACGATTTATTTTGTTAAAGATATAGGACTTTGAAATTTTGTTATGAAAAAGGGTCATTTTAAAAAAACCATTTAGAAAATTTCAAATATGCGTAATTTTTTTTTTAGAAACAAATTTGGTATTAAAAGAAAGCTTATAAAGTCCTCTTTGGAGGCAAAACAAATTTTTGTCTTAACCCTCCGAGTGTTATTTGTCGCTGCAGCGACACATAACACACTTTGTGTAGCGTTTTGTGTCGCTGCAGCGACTCACAAATACTGTTTACGGCGAAGGCTCTATGACTGACAAAATCGGATTGAACTGGATCGAGTTAGGTATCGTTTTATTAAGCAGATTCAGAGCTTTCTCCGGAGGTCTGTCTCTAAGCGCTTTTAATTTTAGTTCTGAAAATATTGTAGCAGACAGCTGACGTGCGTATTTGTAAACAGCTCGGTTAAACTCGCACCGATGACTGATGTGTTTTATTACGTTTATCATTGTTTTAGTGTTAAAAATCAAAAGTAGTGATATACGTGGTGCATTATAAGAAGATTTAAGTGATTTTGAAGGGCTGGTTGATGATCCTGAAGAAGTAGGTAGTGATATATTGATGTAAATTATCAGACAGATTCCTAGCTATGGTTAGGCTATGCATTCTTAGCTAAATGCTATGTACCGAAATCTGGTTTTTGCCCATAACTTATTTATTTGCAAATCTACTTCCTTATATTATTATATATTTGTAATCCTCATAAAATTTAGAACAAAGTGGCTATTTTCAAATATTTATAGGCCTATAATTTATACAATTTCATTGAGCACAAACTTATTTTTTTTTTTCAAAATATTTTTTTTTACCTAAAAAAATTTTTTGAAACAAATGTTCCTTATGTTTTATGTACTTGTATAATATTGAAGCCCATAATTTTCCAAACAAAATGGTATATAGAACAGTATAATTAACACTGTTTTCAAGCTTCTCAGATCCGTTTTAATAAAACCTTGCAAATGAGCAAAAAATAGGCGGACATTAAGGCCAAAACAAGGGACACTCGGAGGGTTAACTCTCGGTAGTTTTAATTTAATTCTATTAATTAAATCTATTATTCATTACTTGCTTTACTTTTAAGAGAGAAAACTATTAAGTATAATAGTTCAAAAGGCGTTTTGTTGTTTTCGCTGGTGTTAAAATCCATAGTACATAATATTAATATAGTTACCCTATATAATAATATAGCATTAAGTAGAGATATTATTACCCTCTTGCTTTCATAAAGGAAGCTTGAGAGTTGCAGAGAATGGAGTTTTTGCGATAAGCATACATGGATAACAGATAAATCTAAAAACATGTATATGTATTGATGAGGGTTAGTGTTCAATTGTGAGATCTAAGAACTTAATTTTCAGATTGTAAATAAATTCATTTGTTTATGAGTCAGAGATTTTTACCATTGTTGGCAAACTAATTTTGTAATATTTTTAACTGATTGAGGAAATTACTTGCAAATTAATATTTCTACAAAACGTCTAAAATGCTACTACAAAAATAAGATCCAATGTTTACTCTTCAAATATATACTGAATTGTGCAAAATTTCAGTTGATTAAAAAAAAACACTCTTTAGAGTGTGCTCTTGTCAAACAGCAATTTTATTAACAGCTGGTGCATCTTGATGAAAAATAAACAGCATGACATAGAGAATGTACAAAAATCTAAAGCCAATAATTTTAATGTTTTGCAGCAATACTGTGATGGAAATGTAAAAACTAACAAAATTACCATCAAATTTTGGATTAATAAGTCTTTTAATAGTTTTACTTTAGTAATAGATAACAAAGGAAGAAAAAGATGTTGTAGATGATTTATTTGACAACAAATACACCACAAGTGTATTTTCACTAACTGAAATTAATGACAAAAAGAATCAAAATGTAAATTGAAAATCATTCTAATTTATCACACTAATTTATTTTACTTAACTATATTATCAATCAATTCTTATTTTCTTTTTAAATAACAAAGACATTTTAGATTAGTTTATTACTATATTAAGAAAATCATTTAACTACATAATTTTTTTTCTGTTTCATGACAAACAATACGGAGGGAAGTTAGTGAAGGAATTCTTGTCTGAACAAACGTAAAAGATAGTTCGGAAATATACACTGAAGAAAATTGAATTTAAGAAATTGATTGCTGTTTAAATAATGAAACTTAAACGAACATGATACAAGTGAAGGGGAGATATTGGAAAAAATGATAAATGTCAATAAATGGAGAACAATTTAGATTGGTCTTGTAGGGACTTGTTTTTCTTTACAATATTTTTCTTGTTATTTAAAAACCAGTTAAACCTAAATCAATCAACGATCTAATTACAAGCACAAATCACAAAATTAATCCTTTAATACGAGAATAAAATGTCGAAACTAACGATCAAGTTCACAAAATTCAGGTGGTTTAAGGGGACGTTTTCCTGAGTTCCCCACAACTTTTTTTAGCTTAAGGTATTGGTTGATTAGTTGTCGGCTGTTGTTTCAAAGGTAGGGTGAGGTGGAGGGGATGGAATCGCTTTTCCTCAAACTGCCTAAATTTTGTGAACGGAGTATAGGAAAAGATGCAATATTCCAAAATGTTACATCCAGAAAAACTTTACAGATTAAATGGTAAGATCAAGAATAAAAGGCTATCAATACTAAAGGCCTACTGGCTAAAAAACTGAATGAAATATTGGTCAGCAAAAAATCCCACAAGTTATCCCACACCTTGAATTCTGAGTCTAAAATAGGCTACTGATAAGTGAAAGAACGTTCAGCGAATGACTCAATATTTCGAACTTACCTGATACATTGAAGTGTACTCTTCTGACTAAGTGAGGAGCATCGACTTTACTGATGGTTTCGTAGCCTGCAAATTCTAAACCTGTCTTCTCGTAAATTGCCGGTGGTCCTGCCTTTAGCCATCTCACATTTTTCGATTCCCTACAAAACCGATACATAATAAGTTTATAGGAAAACTAGTGGACAATTTTCCTTTCTTCGTCCCCTTTTTAGCCTCAAATCTAGTTGTTAGTTGGAACAAGAAAGTAAAAAAAAAGTATAATACTCCCAGATTATTTAGTAAAGAAGAAAACACAGGAATATTTCTGATTTAAAGCCGTACATGGGCGAGCATGCTCGTGACGGTGTTGGCGACGAACATGCTCGCCCGTGTGTGGGATCTGTCGCGGCGAGCATGTTGGGCTCGGCACTCGGCTCGTCGAACATATTCGCGAACATGCTCGTCCGTCTCTTGGAAACAACAAGCATGTTCGGGAACCTGCTCGTCCGTCTGTTGACAACGCCGAGCATGTTCGCCAACATGCTCGCCCGTGTATGGGGGGCTTAAGATAATTTTTTTTTGCCCATTGACTATTATTGTGTTATTTAATTTAAATTGTAATTATTGTTAATCAAACATAACAGGTGTTTTATTGAAAAATAAATATTCAATTTCCACAACGTAAAATAATTATTCTAATCAGTTTTATTTTCAAAACCCCATTTCTAAATAAAGGTATTCATATTTTCAATAAAAAATTTCAAACTAACTAATAACAAGATTTTTTTACATAGTTAAATTTCTACTAATACAAAATCTTACTTTATAATTGACCAGGTAGCATGTTATGTTAAGACCTAAATTTTTCAACATGGTTTTGTTCACAGAAAGGCTAGGCCAGGATTTTCAATTGTAGATTAAGGAGGATAGCAGTTAGCTAACCTTTGAAGGAATACAGATAGGAAATAAAAAACAAAAGAGGCACAGAACACACAATATTTTGCCCCCTAGGGTACTTTGTCAAGTGTAGAGAGTTTACGGAACTTACTTGTTCAACATGAATTTCCAGGAAATCACTGGTATCCCGCAAAATATTTCTTCGCACATAGCAGCGATGTCTTGAGCCTCCGTCATTTCTGACATGACGTTGTCAATCTCGTTGATTCGTCGATCCAAATTCATGACATAAAATCCAGATTCTCTTTTCCTCACGAATCCTGAGCTTCCGTAATATGTTTGGTCTGAGTGCTAGGACAAACATGGCTGGTTATTATAAAGTCTTCAAGTTACGAGGACTGTTTGTGTGTATCGCTTCTTAGTTAAGGTGTACGCTGCAACGAGGCTTCTTGCCACTTAATAGCATCATTTGTGAACAGAACTGTGCCATTTGAAGCTCTGTTGCACACTTTGCTGTGCGTCTAGAATATGTTTTTAATATTTCCTGCCGTATGAGAGGTAAGGTCGGTGATACGCTTTTGACAACAAGAAACTTATCTGATGCCGACATTCATCCCCAGATGACTGAAGGTCATGGCCCTAGGGTAAAGTGCAGAAATGGGTTTTTGAGAGTAAAAATTGTCGTGAAAACTCCTTTCCCTTGTTGTGGTCTTTTGTGAGAAAGTCTACACCCATCAAAAACTTGATTCAATCCAAAAAGAACATTTTTGCGGCCATTTACCCTCACTCATCGCATTAGGGCCAAAACCTTCAGGCATCTGGCGACGGATTTGTTTCTTCTGATCAAAAAACATACCAATGATTTTATCTTGTTTGAGGGGGAGATTCAACAGTTAAAAATTTTTTCAAACACACAGCGAAGCGTTAACGCCAACTAAAGAGTTTGTAAATGGCGCCATTCTGTTTACCAATGATGCCATTAAGCGGCAAGCCACCTCGTTGCTGCGAACAATGGAGCTATATGCAAAAATACCCATCATAACCACCATCATCTCATTTATATAGTTTAAGTTTAAAGTACTTCTACTTTGTGTTATTATAGTGTCGTATGGTTATCAATCAATTATTAAAGATGGGGACACCGCTATGTGCATATTTTAACCCAAATATAAGTGTAAACCCAGTGGTGCAATCTTGTAGTCTTGTTAGTGACCAAGACCGACATGTTCCTTAGACAGGACTGTTAATTAATAGGACCAACAGCCAATGACAACCAAGGGACCTACAGTTTATAGTGGAATCCGAACCACATTCTTTCTTTGTAATTAACGATTTGGTCTAATTATCAGAACAGTACTGCGGATAGTCGTAGTACTCACTAGTGCGGTTGTTAATCCACACCGGGGAGTATCGCATCCAAAGTGCATGCAATAAATATCCACAATTTGTGACATCCTAGTTGCTGGATTACGGGACGACGCCACCGTCCCAGTCAAAATGTGCCAAGCAAACCCACGGTTAGTAAGTGATGCGTTATGGCGGCTTCCAACGAATCAAAACACCCTGAACTCAAACATATTCTTAAACAATATCTTCATAAAAGAGGACCAATTATAGGTAATTAATAGGGGTCTGCGGTGCACCGAAAAAGTCGGTATGGTACGGTACAAGCTTAATTATCGTCATCGGTTCGGTACAACATTTACGCGGTACAAATTCGGTCCGGTACAGCCTATTATAATAATAAATTACTTATCATTTACTATTGTAGTCAATGGTAGTTGGTTCTGAGCACATAAAAGTCTTATCACATGTTTGTTTACGATCTTCATAATTTATTACTAGGGGATGATGCAATAAAAAAACCCATTAGCAGTCCCAAATCCATTAACATTTTATCACGACAATAATTGTTGTATTCAAGTATTTCCAAGAATTGTTGAGTTTTATCACTTTTATTCCTTTACGACTTTCCCCAATTCTATTTTATCATAAAAATAATAGTTTTATGATGACTGTAAATTTTATCTTTAACTCTGTCAGTATTTTCGTGAATATTCAATTTGCCGCTGGCCATTGCCTAATGCCATAAAACTGTTTACGGCTTCATATTAAACTTGTAACTAATCTACATTCTTATTTTATAAGTTAAGATATTTGTTATGGGTATTTTATCTTTCTATTGATGAAACCACAAGCGTAGTAGTAGTGGTAGTAGTAGTTTGCATAATTATTTTTTTTGTTATGCAAGCCTACTCGGTCTTAAATTATGTCATTGCATATTCTGTATCTTGTCTTTTAATGTTGGATGTGGCTGTTAAGGTTTAAATGTTTTTTGTTTCCTATATTTTTTTATTGTGTTGAAGGTACTTTATGCAATCTAAATCTTATGAACTAGATTATGATAGTGATTTTTCTACCCTCATTGTAACCTACTCAATTTATTTAGACCATCCTAAATAATTAGGTCTAGGCCTGGGTCTTTTGACTCTTTGGAAGAGCTTTAAAATATACTAAGAAAATTGGATTGTGTCTGAGATAAACTAATGATTGATATGTGTGGATGTTAACTTTGAAAATGAATAGACAATAATATTACTTTGTGGTAATCCAAATTTTAGTTTCAGAGAAAAACTCTGCTAGAGATGTATTCATCTTATAATTAGTTTTCAAGCTGATAAAAAAGATGCTATTTGCCATTACTTCATCATAACATCCTGTTTTTCATTGTCAACTGTTGAATGTGAACAGCTGGCAACTACACTGTTTTCGTACTGAATGCATTTTTATGTTTTTAAAAGTTTAAAAAACAACTAGACATTGTGTTGGTTGGAAATAATTTACCAGTTGTGTGAAATTATCTTGTCAATTATTGCTTAAAACATGTTTATTCCTAAACATTCTTATCCTGATTTTAAAAAGACTTAATGCTATTCAAAGTATCTCAGAGTAAAATAGGTAAAACCTTTATCTTAACTGTGATTTTTCTTGACACAATCCTAGTAGGAGTAAAATGTTTTAATAATGTGTGGTACAGTAATTGTTGTTAGAAAACCGTGAATGTAGGATACTATCCATTTTAATAGTAATGTCAATGTATTAAAATTAAAAATAATGGTTTAAATACAGTTCTGAGAAGAAAACCACAAAAAATACGGGTAGCCGCGTACCGTACCGATTTTGTACCAAGAACCGAGGTACAAAATATTGTACCGTACCGACCTTAAATTTTCAGTACCGCAGACCCCTAGTACTAGGGGTCTGCGGTACTGAAAATTTACTTAATTATATCTGCCTTATTTATACTTAAAAATTACTTAATTAATATCTGCCAAAGACCTGTTAGTAGTTAACAATTACTTTCTAAAATATCATTACAACTCACCACTACATATAGTCTCTGTGGTGTCGGGCTGGAAGGGGTGTTTAAGTAGGGGAACCCCACGGATGTGTACATAGCAGTTAACACACCAGCCACATAGAGAAATATCAGCGATAGGAACACAGTCCATGGCTTCCTTATGAGCACCATCAGCGGCACCTGTGAAAAATAAAAGGTATCAGCAAACTGACAAATACACTATCCCATTAGCCTGACACTAAAAATGAACATACTCCTTGCAATAAGGGCAAATTCCAGTTGGTAAGTGGAGGAACTTGTGTTTTATGGGGAAAATAAAACAAATGCAATACATTTTTAATATTGTTAATTTGTACAGCATTGTTGTGCAATTTTGATCAGAGTTCAATGAACTGTAAAATGTTATTTAATTCAATTAGTCAAGCAGTTTTTGTAAAAATGTGACTTTTTGTTATTTTATTAGATTTTATGAGAAAACCACAATAAAAATATTAAAAACTACTTTTCAAAGTAAAATTCATATAGGCCTACCAATTAGGCAATTACATTGACATCAGAATTTAGAACCAATCATTCAAGTATTCAAATAAAAAATCAAAAATATTTAGTATTGCACTGAGAGTATTTTAGGTTTCAAGTGTGTTAGTCCCATAGCAATTTTATTACATTAGGAGATTTTGAGATTTGAATTAAATTTCTGGTTTTGACCATCACTAGTTACAACAAAAATAAACCTTCACAATATCAATATGTTTGACTGTAGGCCTACTCACAAAGTAGCTGGCAATAAGCACACACAGTACGGAGCAGATAACTCCGATGATGATGTCAGGATTAGTGTCGGCTCCCAAGCGGCCGGTCACAGGTACAAACACCTGCAGGAACAATATACTGAGGTAGACTGTGTAGAAGGCCGGCAACAGCGCACTCGCCAGGAAGCCACACAGCCAAACGGGAACTGTAACAACATTATTTATCTACAAGTCCATGAAGAACAGACAGAGTCACAAAAATGTAGAGATAAATTACATCTGTTTATGTGCATATGTGGACTAGCGTTTTCTTAACTGTTGCCATTAGTCAAAATTGCAGTTTCAGTTTTAAAATGAACTAACTACTAGCAGGCTTTGGAATACGGTAGCTGTTTCTTTGGTATTATACCGACCACAACCAAATTGGGTTAGGTTACCACACCTAGGTTAGGCTAAGCTAGGTTAGGTTATGATAAGATAACCGGCAGATAACCTAGACCTAAACCCAACCCAACCTAAGGGTAACCAAATAAGGTGGGGTCGGTATAATACCAAAGTACCTTATAGCTTGAAATGTTTATTTAACCTCTCAAGTGTCAATCGCCCGATTTTGAGAAAATTTGTACTCTAAGTTTTGTTAAATTTAAAGCCATGCAACGCTCGGGTCACTAAGTGTGATAAAACTAGTCCAACCCTTGATTGATACTTTGGAAAATAACATTCGGCAAACTTGATTTGTGGAAACAACTTGGGCTCACCTGACTGGTTCCTCTGACAGAGCAGAAGTAGGAAATTGGCAACGGCTGGTATCAGTACCACAATCATCAAAATGTACGCAGACCTGATCCCAGCGACAGTGGCGATCAGAAGAAGAACACTCCAGATCAGCTGTATTCCATTGCAGTACATTTGCGCTTGTATTCCATCACACAGCTTGCTCTGAAATTAAATTAGAATGTAGAACCAAAATTTGTAACTGTCAATTAACAGCTAGTGTTAGAGTAATTTCTTGTAATTAAATATGTAATAGTGCTAAATAATATATTCGGCGACTCAATATTATTACATAACAATTTTAAGCATTTAGATAGTGTGATGGACTCCAACTGACGAGTAAATGGTTTTTGCTTCCGATCCACTGTTGGTCTGGATATCTTCAAAGTAGTTGAACATTACAATGATATTTCAATTTTTCACTAAGCATTACTTGCTTGGGCTTTGGGTTGACCAGTGTTTTTAGTGTGGCAGATCCTTAAATCTGGTCAATGGCAATCTAAGGTGACATTTCTATGGCAAAGAAATGGCATTATAGATGGTTTGATTCCTGTCTCATTCAGGCCTGTTGTGTAGGCCCTACATCATAAAAATTCGGTTGTACATGAAAAAATTTGATACTAAAATAAAATCAGTTTCTTCCATAGCTGAGTAGTATAATTTCAAAATACTCACACTCTTGCAGGCAGTGAAGATATACAACGGAGCAGAGAGAGCAAACAAAGATGGTAGGAAGTATATCGGCAAAACCAAAGAGTTGTGGGTGTACCTAAACAAACACATTGAGGTTTAATGCAATACGAATAATTCATAAAATATTATTTTCTTCAAGATTACACTAGGTAATCATTGACTCCAGATCCTTCCAGCTACAGAAACAGCTAGCTAACTAACAATGATAAACATTACCCTCCGTTTTAAACTGTATTTAAAGCAAATGTTTACCGTTTAATATAGCTCATTCTACCCTCATTTTTTCTCATCATCAAATAAATAAAAAATTATTGTAATAAGTTGATTACCAGGACATTGGCCGCTGTGTAGAGTCCAAGACAATGGCGTTGGCAACGGCGCTCGTTACCGCCAGAACCATACCAAGAGCCGGCACGAGCACCGACAACGCCAGCTGTCGACACATCGCCTGCCTCTTCATACCTGCGCCGTTACAAATGATTAGTCAACTGTCAGTAGTTCTAGCTGTTTAGAATCCCCTAATATTGATATTGAGGTATGACGATCCTTTACTACTGTTCAATCCAGGTATTATTAGGTATTTTGAGTTTATTTATGATATTTTATTTTAACAAAAGAATAAGGGTTATGTTGAAACTTCATTTCAGTTTGAACTTAGAATGCCAACACAAGGATCTAGTTTTCAAGGGTTTAAGTGAGCAGGCTTAGCTAAATGGGAAAAGATCCAATTCTGGCACAAGAAACACAAAAGTTTAATCACTTGAATTTTTATTTTTTAATAAATTTTTTTTCAATAGCCTACTGTATCTCTCAACAACTCCCTGGCCATCATATTGGACCAGAAGAAAACTCTATTCCTTAGTTGAAAATGCTGTCAGTGACAGTACACACTATAGCACTGTATATAGTGTAAGGTTTGTGCAAGTAGTGGCTCTTGTGCAAGTTTGGACTCTTTCCTATTCAGGTAAGCCAGCTATCCTCACAAAAAATCATAAACCCTGGGCCCTTGTGCTGTATAACACATCCTTAACCTCAATTTTTACTAAGGCGGTGTACCTAGTGTAACGTATTTAAGCTAAACATAAATGCAAGCGGTCAGTGTAGAATTAAATGAGATTATTTGTGTGGATTTGTTACCGACTAAGATCGCCTTCTTTTCATAGATTACCTCTACGATCATTCATTAAAAGCCCAATAATTAAGGACTTTTAGGAAAATATTTATCATAAAAAAAAACTAGAAGCAGACTGACATCAACTAGTCAGTTTTATGTGGCCAGAAAGACTCTTACGTTTGTCTTATAGCACAAAAAAATGCATCAAAACAATCACTATTTATAGCTCAATCTAAAGAAATAAATTTTACAAATATGACAGTTCACTCCTTTTTTTGTTTTAAACAAATTTACAATATGCAAATATTTCACCAAAATCTTAATAATAATTGTTTCCACAACTCAAAAGTATAACAAGGTGAAAATAGTTTTACATTTCAAAACTGATTAAAACAGGAATGTGGAAATAAAAACGTGCAACGAACAAGCTTCATGCAAAATATCTCAGTCTTTGCATTCAGCACAAATTCATAATGGGCAAGGTGAAAAGGGGAATTGGCATAAAGCATTCATGAACACTTAAAATAAATCAGAAAATTCAACAATCTGTAGAAAAATATCACTTTTTATTACCTGTTTAGTGCATTTACTTGATTAGGATCAAACAAATTGTTACATTTTAAAAGAATGGTTTGAAGACGTTCACTTTTTTTAAATTAGGATATTGATCAGAAATATTTTGTAAAATAGCACCAAAATGGTTAGATCATCCAGTCCATCCTATTACCAACTTTCCTATGGTATATAGATTTTAAATTATCCGTTGTAAACAATATGTACTTTTATAATTTATTATTTGTACAAGTGTAACTTGAATTGATTAAATTTCAAAGTGGTCTTTTCTTAGACACAAATTTTAGAATGTTACTTTTAATTTATTTATTTAATCTAAACTTGGTTAATGTTTTGTTATCGGTTGGCAAATTTGTTTTCATTACTTTTATTTCTTCAGAGAAATAATATAAGATTTACAGCCAAACATTTTTACATAGTTACAATAAAACATGACAAAACATAGCACTGATATTACGACCAGTAGCCTTATTCAGTATAATGACGAAGAGAAATCAATATCTTTACGTGATTACTTATCACAAAGTACTCTCGGGTGAAGTTGTTTTATGTAACCTTTTCTATGTACAGTAGACTCTCGCTCATCCGGACTAATGTGGCGGACGTCCGGTCCGGATTACGAAAAATCCGGACTATCGAGAGACGAGCAAATGCACAGTACTATATATAGCCGTTTTTTTTTTCCAATTTTGTTCCAGGTCTACAGTAATGATAGCAGGGCATATGCACTTCCACCGGTAATAATTTTTACCGCCGTGTTATCCAATTTGTTTGATTATTCGAGGTAGTCTCGGTCCTGTTTAGCTCGGATATTTGGACTTCTACTGTACTGTGTCGCTAAAAAAATCACAATTGCCAATCCGGACTACCAAGAGTCCAGACAAGGCCGATCTGGATGCGCAAGAGTCAACTGCATTTTTTAATGTCATAAACTATATTTTCACAAGTAAGCAAGCTAAACTCCTTTTAATGTCTCCTCAATCAGCAACCTACGGTTTCCTTAAATTATAAATGAATATAATGTTGATACATAAATGTGTTAAACTTTTACTCATACATGTGATAACTATTTTATTAAAATGCACAAGCAACATGTTAGGAATTTAAAAGTCGTTATAAAACCTTCTACAGGTGTAAAATAAATAACCAAAGCATACATTCACTGTGATCGGGGTTTGTATACAGCAACAGATTTTAGGAGAAAGTTAACAAAATAAATAAACAAATGTTAAATGCAGCAATGCACAACAGTATGCAAAGCAGTAAATTGAAAAAGGGAAGAAATTAGGTCTCTGATTTACTTACAAAAACATTTTGATGTTTGGTTTGGTGCTGGTTCTACATAAACAAGAAGACAATGTAAAAGGTGAGATACATTTTCTCCTACAGATATTTACACAAATTGTAATCTCCAGTAGAGTCTCAATTATCCAACCAACAATTATTTGATTTTCTGTGTTATTGGACCTTCCCTGATGGTAAATTTTTTTAACTATTCTGTCCCACTTCACATCCTAAGATGTAGGCTCTAGCACGAAAGTTTTAAACATTACTTCAGGCTAGGCCTACAGGGTGTTATCACTTGAATAAAGTCAATGAGTGGTTGGCAGGATTTGAACCCAGTACCTCAGGGAAAAAATTGTGCATTCTATCACTACCCCAGCTCAAGCCCTATCTGATCAGTTGTTTATACAAGACAAAATCTATCCGAGAAATTTCCATTTCTTTTCTCGTGTAGTATGTACATTTTGTAAGTCTGACTCATTAAATACAAAACTTGGGTAATAGGAAAATTCTGTGTTCTACCGTTGACTATACACTGTGTAAATTCTGTGTATAGTCAATGGTTGTACCCACATTACAGTGTAAATAAAATATTTAACTTCTTTCTAATAATTACAGAATAACAATTTATCAGCTGATAATAAATGAAAAACAAACGAGGATAAAGACTGAATATGTGTGTGTTATCTTTCAAGATAATATTTTCCCATGATATTGATGTGCTCTATGTATGGTTTGCATACAAAAATTTCAGTTTTTCAACATAATATATGCGTTGGTGAACTTATAAACTCACATATGTAGCAAATTAAAGGAAAGTTCAGAGTTGTGAAATCTGAATATTTTCATTAATTTATTTTTTTTAGCTATACAAAATTAATATGTGAGAGCTAGAACAAATTAAGCTTTATCTTCTAAAATATTTAAATTGTTATATTATTTACATAAAGTGATAAACTAAAACATCAGTAGTCTTACAAGTTACGTTTTGTGTCAAAATTTTATCTGTAACAAATTTACGATTTTTACTGAGCATTGGTCAAAATAAATTTTAATTCCTTTAGAAGCAAGTCTTCCACGGATTCTGATTCTGATTCCATGAATGATGTGACAAGGTTCCACCCAGAAAAAAACTGTTTTTATAAACCCATTGACACTGGAAATTGTTTGTTTATCTTACTAATATTATAAATAATATATACTTTTGAGTCCTTTTATGACTTCCATCATAGGCTAGTATTTCAACTCGATACGTCCATTTAAAAACAAAATATAAAAATCATTGTCCTCCTCTTCTATACTTATGTTTAAAAAGAGATATAAAAGAGATATGTTTTTAGGTGTTGTGAGCAATCCTCGTTAAACTCACTAATGCTGTGAGCTTCCACTTAAGTTGGACACCGTTTACTCAAGATGGGCCTCTCCCACCAGCTAAGCCACACATTAGTAAGCTCAAATGGATTGCACATGTATGGGATTTGAACCCACGAGTTTAGAAAGACCTCGACGCTATACTTGTCAGTGCAACACCTTAGCCAAATGAGCTGCCGTGCCACCATTGGCCAAACAAGTCGATAAAGCCCGGTTTACATGATGCCAGTTGGTAAGACATTTTTCATCACGTGATTGTGGGATTGTCGGAGGCCAGTAGTCCTCCTAATTGTATTCAGTCTACTAACGGAGACAACTAATTTCAGAGCAATTGTGAGGGCAGTTGGCAAGACAAGGGCCCTGAAGTATTTACACGAAGCCAATAATTTCATGCTAGTCAGTTCTCTTCTGAAAATTGTCTCTCCTACTGCTATCGTGTCAACCCGGCTAAAGTTCACGACGACACTAGCCCTCGACGGGTTTGATTCGACAAACTACATGAGCAGATGGGTTAGCCGTAAGGCTCTCTCTCTGTGAAATGTGGTGACGAGCTACATACGAGTCGTCAATGGGTAAAGTTAATGTTTGTTAGTCAAATTAATAAACCAGGAAAACACTCACCAGATGTGTAAGCGAGGGTGTTTTTAATGACTGTGTACACAGACAGTGCGACGGTGCTGAGGTTTAGTATGATCCCGATCACTTCCGAGTATTGCACCATAAATAGTCCCAGGACATCAAAGTACACCTGAAAAGTTTCAAAAGATTAACACAATCAACTGTGGTGGAGACAGAAATTTTAAGAGAATGGAGAATGCAAAATACAGTTAAAGAAATAATATTTATAGTGGGTATTTAGAGTAAAAAAAGGCGGAGTAAATATTGGAGAGAAAATATCAAAATAGTTGAAGACAGGTCAAGAGGGAAAATGCAGAACCGTTAGGACTTTTACAACTAATAATTTAAAGCGTACTTTATCGCCGCCATGTCTTCGCCGCGAGTGCCTGGAACCTGTGTCAAGTGCCAACTTCAGTAGGTTCCCTACATCAAGTGTTCGCCAAAAGTGTGCACACTTCCCTCATCTTAGATAATCTACAAATTGGCTACCCTCTTCCCGAGACGTCGTCAATCGTCATCCACCATCCACCTACGGGTTCCGCCTATGTGCCGCCTCTACTCTCTAGTGTTTCTTGGTCCAGGACTGGTTTCACTACCCTTGGATTTTTGGTTTTTTACCTTTTTTTTACAACCCAGGTAGATTGATGAGGTTAAGAGCGCAGAAACAGAGGATGAATAAAATGGCAGATGGAAAAGTGAGAGAAACTGAAAAGGGAAAGGAAATGTAGAGGCTTCGTGGATTCGCAGACTGGGAATAACTGAAATGAAAGTGGATGTATTTAATTTTAACCATTGTGTTTGAATATTCCTCAAAACTGCCAAAGTAGGTATAAAAATTTAACTAAATGTAGGCTAAACTTCAGCAAAAAAATTGGTACAGAAAGTAGCTGTTTTCGATAATATCCAATATCAAAGAAAATAACTATTTCCATAATAACAGAAGGGATTTTCTCTATCACAAAACAACCGTTTACCTGGCGACCATTTTTGAACTCGTTAGGCCTCTTGATCTGTTCGGAAGCCACGATGTGTCGCACCAAAGCCAACAAGTTGTCCCCGGTGTGCTGGTAAACGCTCGGTAGAATCATGTCATGCCGGTCATACTTGGTGTGGTACACGTAGCCGTTCTTGCAATGGGCAAAGTCCAGTCCTAACAAACATTGCATCTCACAATTACTTTGATACATTGTAAGTAAACACAATAACAATAGGTAACGTTTGACAGTCAATAGAACTAACTAAACATTTAGACATTCTATGTGTTTTTGCCAGTTTCAGAATCAAAATGATTCATAAGTCATTATATTTTCGATGATATCTTAAAGTTTTGTTAGTATTAAAATGATTCATAAGTGCAAATAAACCGATCCTGTACACAAAATATACCTGAAAATACTAGTTGTTTGAAAAGTGTTTGTTAAAATAAAATCAAAACTTAAAAAAATTTTACTTAAGTTATCCTTCTTTTAAAACTAACCAAACAAACCGTGTTCATTTTGTATCAAAAATATAGTTTATACTGTTCAAACCCTGCACGGTTACACATCTTTGAAAAAATATGTTTTTACACCACTAAATTATAGACTAAGGGTTTTTTCAACACGGGAAACATACTTACCAGGTTTCTGGCCGTAATCACGGAATATCCTAAAATCTGTATCGGACGGAATCAGTCCAGAATGGAAGATCTCTTCAAACAGAACTTTTGCACTTGGGAATGGAACAGATTCAGCATACAACTGCAGAAAAACCAAGAATCAGAACTGAAATTCACTCTAATTTTATTCTAGCCCTTGAGATTTAATCAATAAGATATTGAAGTTTTACATGCCTTGTTAAAACCCGATGTCTATCTCAAATGACAATTATGTTTGTTTACATATTTTGGCTTGGATCCACCTTTCTTATTTTATTGTAACTATTTACCACGTATGGTGAATACAAGTTGAAAAATGTCGGATAAATAAGGTACGGTATGTGAAACATAGTTTTTTTTTAAGTAAGCGTAGAAAAATATAATTCAGTACAATAGACTCCCACTAATCCCATCCAATCTTGTACCTATGTGGTGCTGATAATTGAAAGTGCAAAAATAGTCAAAGACAATGAGAAAATTGGTAAAAACTTAAAATCTTTGTACTACGAAATCATGAATGGTGACAGTTGCAAAATCATCCAGTATTTGTGTTTCTTGTTCTAAGCTAATCTTCCCCATTCTGGTAGACCTGCTTTGCCCCAGAAATCCTTAAAACGTTGGCTCTTCAACCCTATGTTACATCATTAAGCTAAAAACACAGTTACTGGTAGTTATTTAGCAATTCTAGAGCACAGAAAATAGCAAAGGCGTATGGGGGAGTGGTTGGGTGGAGCAAAAGTTTTCTGTTTCTAATTCCCGATTATGTTCATAAAACAAAAATAATTTAATTGTAAAGAGGCCAGTCACCTCATTCCTCTTTATTTTTAACACAGTCAAATGTTTTTCCTGTTATTCATAGGCCTACTTAGTCAGCAAAGGAATCGTTGAGTTGACACATGACAATAATGGCATGATAAATTATTTATCAATTACCCTACTGATACCACTGTGATCTTATAATACTATTCTTATTACTAATGTGGATTCCCATGCAAGACCATTGACAATATCATGTACCGTATCTACATTAAAAGACCTTTGTGTTAAATGTGTTATGTAGCCTCTGACTTGACTTCCTTTTGTCCTACATCTAAGGACACAAGGCTTTAGCCTGGAACCGTTTTACTTTCACACATTACTTCAGGCCAGGCCTAAAGGGCAGCGGCATCATTACATAGCTAAGAGTCATAGGAGATTGGCAGGATTTGAACACAGGACCTCAGGGACTAAAGCCCTGCGCTACTAGACTAGCATGTTCCCCTATATTATGGTTGAATAAAAATAACCTTAGAATCATAAGTCATTTATTTGGCCAGATTTAAAGGGTTAATGCATTGGCTAAGTCCGAAATAAATTTTAAATAAATTTTTCTTATAAACTATAAAATAACTATTAAACTAAACAATACTTAACAATTTACCCGTCAACAATAAACTCACGTAAACAGTAATAGCATTTACTAACTGGTAATTTTCAAAAAGGTTTTTTTTTAATAGCAGGCCGTTGACTCAATTTTTAGATAAATTGTCAAAGCATTGAAAAACACTAAACCCTACCATATAATAATGTTTTTTTCAAGGTGATTGAATTCCTGTTAACATACCACCCTGACAACAGTATCCAATTTTAATGCATTATTTAAGTATGTTACATTAACTTAATTAATAGAGAAATAGATGACATTTTAAACCTAAATGTTGGTTGTCTCGAACAACTTAGCCCTCTATATTTTGGATAGGTAAATGCTCTGTTGTGTTATTTTTCATTATAAATTTAAAACTTCTCAACATCTTGGTTCCTTAAAAGCTTTGAAAAGACTTTTTTTTAAAAAAAGCTTGACAATATAAGCTAATCTTACCTGCACCAACCAAGGATGGTTAGGACCGGCTTGAAAAAGGACTTCTTTGCCACCGGCCCCACAGCTCTCTAGGTTGATGAAAGCTCTTACTTCAGGGGCCCACTTGTGAGTCGTAATGAACCCGTGAGACGCCTGGGAACGTAAGCGTAAAAGTCAGTAAGCCTACTACAAACTTAATAACTTAAATAAAAGAAATTACACAAAAACTTGCAAAAAAGATGGGCATCATTTACTCCACAGCGTTGGTGGAATTCTCAGGAATTAATTTCAAGTGTTTTTAATAGTTATGGCTGAAAAGTTATTAGAAAAATGGTAAAAAAAAAACTGTACAGATTAGTAATGAATTGGATTAGATCAAGAACATTTTGTGTACCGTAGTTTTAAGAGCAACAAGTAAATTTCAACCCTCAGACGAACAAGAAAGAAATGGTGATCAGCTAGGAAATTTCCAGATGGAACTTGGATTTCAAATTAACTTAAAGTGTCAAAATTATTGTTGGATTCTAATTTTACTATTAATATTTTGTCCAATTCTCGCTGTGATAAAGAAAGCCTTCTTCTATAATTTTTTGTTGTAATAATAAAAGAAAAATAACTGTCGAAAGAGCCGCGACAATACAAGGCCGCGGCGAACAATGTGGTAACATCACACTGACCAATAACTAACCACAAGCATGTAAACATTAGCACTGCCCAGACTCCCCATGAATTAGTGCTACAACTATTGGAACTGCCCACTTTTGTCTCGTCGCGGCCTTGTATTACAGGAGGCTTCAATGATATTATATAATATGGCTGTGAAATGTTAAGTATCACTGTAAAATATAAATATTTTATCATTAAAATTTCCTCCTTTGTCTCAAAACCAAAAGAACGCTGCAATATGACATGAATCAACAAAATTCTGACTTAAAATAAGTTGCTCTCCTAAAAGTAAAACTCACCATAAGAGGCGTCTCTTCCGCTCCATTGAAGAGAAAAATTATGTTCTGTTGAAGTGGGTCGCGTTGCCGAGATATCACTCGTAGAACTTCCAACATGACAGCGCAGTTCAGTCCGTCGTCACTTGCCCCTAAGCAAAAAAAGGTTGGATATTTTTAAGTAAAAAGTGCCTTAAACTGTTCAATTTGATTGATCCCTTTGAGCTATATTGACTGATGCATAATGATCCAAGAGTAACATGAAAATACTTCTTGAGTATTAGGTTAAAGAGATATCTCAATAAAATCGGCTGAACTTGACATTTGCTATGCTACAAGGGGTTTAGTGAGGTAAACCATCAGGTCTGACAATAGCCGAAGGTTTGAAAGATTAGAAATTCAAAATGTATCTGTGCCATTAAACTTTAGAACAATCCTTTTGTTACCCATATAGCAAAAATAGTATTTGTCTTAAATTGAGATGGTTTGAAATTGACTCAGCAGTTCCAGATCATTGGGCTTTAAATAAACCATCCTGGTTGAAGAAACAGCTGATTTCAGTCAGTAACAAATAACACTTTGGTGTGATTTGCTGTACAGTAATAATTAAGTTAATTGGATAGTTGGATTAATGAATAGATAAATTCGAGAGACAACCCCACCTGCACATCCTCCACTTAAATTGTCACTTGCTCAAACATTCAGTTGTATATAGATTGTGCAGTAGAACTCCAAATAAACACACTCCAACTATCCGAATCCCTTACATACGGTAAATAATTTAAAAAACTTAAAACCACAGTAATAAGAATCGTTATAAAGAAGGCAGAAGCCATGACTGTGGCATAATCTAAAACAAGGTCGTGTAGGTATCATTGCCTCCCATGGTCATAGAAAAATTGGCGTCGTTTTCCACGGTCGAGGCAAAATCATGAACATCTTCCGCAGTGTAGACATCATCCTTGTCTCCCGAGGTCTCCGAAAATTGTAATCGTTCTCCGAAATCAAGGCAAAAGCATAAATTTTTTATGGCAAAATGTTCACAGGCGCATTATGTGATCACAAAAGTAAAAGCTTGGCTCAACCTATTTTCTGTAAAACACTTTGAATTTCAATCAAAATTTATCCGAATGTGGTGCGTTCCCAATTGATTTGAATAATTGGAATTCTACTGTAGTTCATTTATTCAATACTTCAAGATGAGACCAAGTTTCATCCATTTCATCATTTATTAATGTGGATTAAATACATAGCTATGGCATCGATCAGATAATCCCAAAAAATTTTAATAATCTACCAACTAATGAAACTGACTGACTAAACCATTATTTTCTTTCTAAAATCATAGTCGGTTATCATCATTTACCTGGACTTAAAGGAACAGAGTCAAAATGGCAGTTGACTAACAGACTCCCATTGACTGCAGAATGTGGTCCGATCTTGACTATTATATTTTGTATACCATTGTAGTGATACACCATTTTGTATGACTTATGCGGAATACTGAAAGAACCCGTTGGTTTTTGAATGTCCTGGGATATCTTGTGGATAGGATTTGCCTGAAGAATCGTGTTATTGATTTGTAGCTGTAGAAAATGTACAGCATGAACTTCGTTGACAAAACTGCCTGCTACTTTAGGGCCAAGATCGGAAAGCTCTTCTAATATGCTTCTAGCTCTTTCAGCAATAAACCTGCCAAACAAAGAGGAGGATCAGTTTGTGGCTAATTGTCTTGGATTTCTTATAAATTACAGAAAACTGATGATATTTGCCTAAGTAGGCCTTGCCTGTTTACCTATAATTTTTACAAAAAATAATTTGCTACCTACCCCCCCTTGGTTTGATTTAACAACACTTGTGTTACATCAATAACACATTTTTTACAACGGACACCTCCCAAAATATTTAAATTACTGCAGTACGGTAACGGTATTTTACTTAAAAACTTGTAATTCAGAATATTTTTAGCGTTCACACTAATCAAATGTACACATGTAGCTGGATAGCATATTTCCATTCATAGGCTAAGGAATCTGCCTCCGAGCCATAAATACCGGTACCGGTAGCTATTAGTCGGTAGCCTATGCTAAATTCTTTTTTTTTTAATACTGTTTTAGAACTTCACTCTGGCAAGGTAAACTAATGCTAAAGGATAAGAGTCAAATTATTTTGTGGAGAGATTACTTTGTAAGCTCACTTTGGTATTATTGTGTAGGCCTATTGTGCAACTGCCTCATGCTGTAAAAATTGGTTGTCTGTTAAAGAAATAAAATGTTAGAAGAATCTATTTTAAACTGCAACGTTAGAAATATCCATAAGAAAAAAACTAGAAACTACTAACCTGTCAGCGTTGAAAGTTTCATCTGATATATTGAGGGGCAATGGCAACCTGTTGTTGAGTAGGAGAGCAATTATGTAGATAAGACTGGTTACGGATACAACAGCAACAACTGTGCCTGTGGTGGAAAGTCGGTGCAGCCTGGAGGTACAAGCGGTGGCCTTCTCGTCCATGATGGGAGGAGGCGGTGGTGGCCATTCCTCATCACCACTAGTCTTGGCTCGCTGTCTCAGCATTTGGGCCTACAGATGACAGCCTATGAATGACTGCTTAGGTAAAAAGAGTAAAGTGATTGAACGAGGATGAATAAACTATTAACAAAGAGGTAGTAATAATCTGAAAACAGTACTGTACTAGGTTTTGGTTTTTGTATAAGTAGGCCTAGTACGGTAACTTAAAATAATCTAAGATTTTTGCCCTCTTTTCAGTACCGTAGATGTAGGCCTACCAAAACTTCATTTTCTGATCCTGCAAACCTAGACAATAATACATAACAAATAATTGAGGAAAAGAACTTGCAAACTTATCTTACAAACAATAGATCATAAATATTAGTAATTTAAATGTCTATAATGTAAGATAACGATCCAAGTCTTAAAACTTTAAAGTAAACAGCATTGGTTTCATGATAAGTTAAATGAACCTGACACATAGCATAAGCCTTGAAATTTAAATAAAAACACATTAAGTAGGTCTACCGTAGCTTGTATTGCGACAAATAAAAATATAAATTTCTACATGGGTGAAGAATTGAAATGTAATAAAAAGCTACTTACTACCAATACTTGAGAAAATTATGTCTGTCAAATTTTACAGTTTTCTTCAATGGCTGTGCATAGGGCCGGGTCTTAACCCAACACAAATAAAATGTTTAACAGTCTTCACACCAAACCTGTTTTGCATTCTTTAGTTGCATTTAAATCTATAACACAACGCAAAATTGACACATAAGGCAAGATAGAACGACGAAAAATTTGGTAAATAAATGTAATATTATCTCTTCTAACCTTTAACCTAGGGTCTATCGAACTTTTGTCTTCTGCTACGGCTATTGCTTTCTGCTTTCTGCTTCTGCTATGCTGCTATGGGCTGCCAGCGTCTGGTCTGGTTGGTTACTGTGATGGTTGGTACTTCGAGATGGCATTGAAAAGGCTATATACTACTATAAATGTATATTTTTTAAACTCTTATAATTAATGGATAGACAGTGTTTTTTTCTTGTTACATTAAATTATTGGATGGATAGTGTTTAATCTGATCTGGGGCCATAGATTTAAAATATTTCTTTAACGTATTTGACTATGAAATCTTCATGGATAAACTGATTTTCAGGTTGGATTGTTACTGACTAGTGACACAGTCTTTCCAGAACTCAGAAAGTAAATATTAACCCCATAGCTCAGTGATTAACCCCAATTTATTTTGAGTTGACAGCTAAGCGTACCAATAAAAAAAAGCTTCAGCTGTTCCATAAGGATGAGACATCTTCTAAGGGAGTACAGTATTTTTATCCAATCTACTGTTACTGGGGAAGTAGAAAGACAAATTAATTGCAGTCACGATGATTCCACCCACTAGTAGGATAGTTGTAGCATAGATAAAACGTACGTTTTATCTGTGGTTGTAGCTTTCCAGCCTTGGTCATCAAAGGTAATAATTCCGGTATACCTATGTCCTATTTTTCTTATTCTTATAAAAATTCTTCTAATTTATTTGTAGTATACCTTTCTATGAAATGAAATGAAATGCTTTATTGTCGTTAAAACTGAGTACAAAGTTCATGACAATCGTCAAAAGAAAAAGAAAACAATCAAGATGGCAACTAAAACTAAAACTCTAAACCAAAGTACTCTTCATGTTTATACAGGCAAGCCTGGGTTAGAGTAGTTTTTAAAACATGTTTAAATTTTGAAACACACAGGTTTTTGATGGATGCAGGCAAGAAATTGTACATTTTAACACCTTGGTACTCAAAACTATTTTGAGTGGCTGTATACTTATGCCTTAGTGTAGACAGATTATCTTTAGATCTAGTACAATAGTTGTGAACATCAGATATCTTTTCAAAGTGAGAAATGTTTTCTTTTACATACAACAAACTTGCCAAAACATACAAGGATGGAAATGAGAGAATGTTAAGACTCACGAAAAGGGGCTTACAATGTGTTCTTCTATTCACACTACAAATTAACCTCACCGCCTTCTTTTGTAAAGTAAAAAGCAGCCTGTTAGCATAAAAACTGTTGGCCCACAGTGAGGTACCATAGGACAAATAGCTATGAATGTGGCCATAATATATACAAATAAGGACATCATCTGAAACAGTGGACCTAAGTGCTCTTATCATAAATATGCCTTTTACAATTTTAGATGCTACAAAATCTACATGTGAAAACCACTTCAAGTTTGACTGCAAATGAAAACCCAAAAACTTCAGAGTGTTTACATCATTACCATTACTGCTTAGACTAATAGTCAGGTCCTGAGTCTTATCAGCATTAAGACATAACTTGTTTGCATTACACCAGTCGTTAATAACAGCAGATTTTGTGTCCAATGTGTCTGTAACATCATTCAAAGAGTTACCCCGTACACACAAGGCCAAGTCATCAGCAAAAAGAAAGCTTTTTACAGATAAGTCATTAATATTACAAGGTAAGTCATTTATATACAGTATAAACAGGGTAGGGCCCAATATAGAGCCTTGGGGCACTCCGTGGGGCACTCGAACAGGGCTAGAATAAGTGCCATTTAGATAGACTTTTTGCCATCTGTCACTAAGATAAGATTGAAAATAATAAGTAGGTAGTTCTTACGCATTTTCTTAAAAATGTTATTATCTTGACAGCTTCATGTCTTCTGGCATCCAGTTTAGTAAATATGTTTTTTGATACCTAAATACTTGATGTGGTCCGGCTATTGCCAAAGATATTCGGTAGCAATTCAAAGGTAAATTAATTGATTAATGGTTTCGTTGCCTAAAGTGTTGAGTGTAAGTACTTCATGGTTGTGTTTAATTAAATATTTCAGGAAACTATCGCCATAGCTTATTTTAATATACAGTATGAACGAAGGTAAGGAAAGGGGACTTTAAGATTAATAAAAATGAACATCATGTACCCATTGTAGACATGTAGCCATTGTGTGAAAATGAACATGCATGTCAGACGAGAGTGCAAGAAAATATAACTGAGAATACTACAGTTATTTTTTTATTGAAGATTTTTACTAAAACAGAAAAAGATTGTAAACTTATGATGTAGAAGATTAATAAAGTTTTCATTTTTTTATCCGAGGGGAAGCTTACACTTCGTAATTTGAAGCTTTTGGCTGTCGATTCCATTTTTGTGACCTACTCTTTCGAGCTACACGACACTTATCCAAGCCTGCTAAAAAATAATAAGAAACTACTTCTGCTTTCTGCTATTTCGGAATGGGAATGGGATTGAATAGGTTGGGTTTAGGGTTAGGTGGGTTGGGTTGGGGGTGTTGTTGGTACTTGGGAGTTGGGACTTCTCCTCAAAGTTCTTCAGTAATCAGTTATCAGTTTAGTTGAGTTGAGTTGATTACTCTAACTTAATACAAGATTCCTAGATTGCGGTGATTGTGCTTGATGAGTGAATGTCATGGAAAGTTAGTTATGGGGAGAGAATTTGCAGTCACTGCAGCCTTTATTTTGTACATCCGTACTTATTTTACTTGTTTTTATAGTTAGCCTATTTCGTGGTTGCCGATGGTAATATCTGAACAAAAATGATTTTACTTTTAAAGTATTTCATCTTCTTATTTTGGTTAGGATGCATGTTAATTTGTGGGATGTTCTTGTTTACCAGAGGATTTCTACTTAATCGAGAAGTCCTGCATTTTTATTCATCATGCAAATCTTCTTCTAGTCTTGGCTTTTGTGATATTATGTTTAATTCTAGTGCAAAAAATGAAATAAATGGAGAGCATATCCTAGAATGTACTGAGGAGAATGTTGTATCAAATCAATTGAACAATAAATTAGATAGTTCTCAGTTTTGTTTTAATAGCAATATAAAAGTGATTTTGCTTTTGATTGATGCACTTAGTTATGATTTTGTTCTCTACAATGAAAGTCTTGTAGAAAATATTCCTCCCTATAAAAACAAATTGCCTTTCATTGATGAATTGTTAAAAAAGGAGCCAGATAAAGGGAGGTTATACAAGTTCATTGCTGATCCTCCAACCACTACGATGCAGAGATTGAATGGTCTTACCACAGGAAGCTTACCAACTTTCATTGATGTAGGATCTAACTTTGATACATCTGAAATAAATGAAGACAACCTTATCGATCAGTTAGTAAAGGCCAAGAAAAATATAACTTTCATGGGAGACGAGACATTAACATTTATGTATCCTGGAAGATTTCGAAAAGAATATCCATATCCCTCTTTTAATGTCTGGGACTTGGATTCTGTAGATTCTAATGTAAGGGAACGACTGGTACCAGAAGTAAAAAGTAACGATTGGGATATTATAATAGCTCACTTTCTTGGAGTTGACCATTGTGGACATACTTACGGTCCCTTCCACTCAGAAATGGCAAGGAAGTTAACAGAAATGAACGAAGTAATTAGGTAAGTTATGTGTTTAGTATTGATTCAAGCCTAGGCCTATAGGTATCACAGAATTTCCAGTTAAGGCTAGGTAGGCCTAAATTATGGAGGTACAGTCCTACGGAAAAATATCTCATCAAATTTAATTTAGGCCTACTTAGGCCTATCATTAAAAATGATAAAGTTAATAAAGTTGTTCTGTTTGTTTATTTTATCCTTAGCAAGTTATTATCATCCTAAATTTATGTACGACTCAAGTTAGTTAACTTAGGCCATAGACAAAAAGAATAAATATAGACCGTCAGCATTGCTGCGATAAGCATAAGTTCCGGCGTCCACCGCTAGGTTTGCCTTGTGGTTACGGCGCACACCGCTGGCCGTACTGGTCTGCTGGTCGCATACGGCTACTGCGCTCCTCGCCTGCAGCGGTGTGCGCCGTAACTACACGGCAAACCCAGCAGTGGGCGACGGTACCTTCCTTTGACAGTCTATAATAATAATTATTATATATATAATAGAATAATTATTATTCTATTTGTCTATGCTTAGGATTTAATGAGTTAAATAAATACTTAAGTTATAGAAAACCCTTTTGATTGTAGGTTTTTGTTTTGTTTGATTGCTTCATTTTTTTATTTGATTGCTGTTTTTGTCAACTTATTGTTTGTTTTGTTAACATTCATAAAATATTATTGTTTTTGGTTAAGTTTGAATACGATTGGTAAGTTTAGTTTGATTACTAAACATAGGTAGGCTAATAAAAATTAAACAAAAGCGATACCTTTATCAAACTGAAACAAAATCAATATTGCCTATTTCAATATTTAATCTGGTAACATAACCTAGTGCAGGTTCTCTGCAAAACTGTTGCCGGTAATTTAGGCTATTATGACGTACCATAGTAAATAGGCTCTCCCTCCAAAGTCAGACGTTAACCACTAGGCTGTCTTAACTCTCATAACCAATCGTTTTTCAATATAATCTTTATGTTACAGGAGTGTTGTTGCTGAATTGGACAACAATACTATTCTATTTGTTATTGGAGACCATGGCATGACTGCAACAGGTAACATTGAACCATAGGCTACAATTTAAGACTAAAAGTAGCCTATAAAAGGTAAGATTAAAGCTTACACCAGAACTGTCCGGAAAGTAGCCTAACAAATATTTTACAGTGGAAGGCCTCATATCCGGGCACTTTAGGACCAAACTCTTGACCAGATCGGTACTATTAATAACGATAATTTACAATAAAATAATGTGTTAGGCCTACCAATAAAATGTAGTAAAACATGTTGAAGTTTCTTTTGGGTTTATTTTTATTTATTTTTCTAGAAATAAAGGCTACACATGTTTGTAAAACCAACATAGCCTAATAGATTTATAACAATGACTAACACTAGATTAGCCTTGAAGATTCGATGAAGATTAGACCTTAAAAAAGTATGTAATTTTCTGCTGAATTTTCTTTTCTTATCCATTGTTAATAAAATTACTGTATTGTACTAAACACACTAGAAACCTTTCAGAGGCTAGGCCCATTAGCTCAACTGAATATTGGCACAGTAAAATGTAAACAAACAGGAAAACCATGAGAACGCTCAAGTCACGGAGACTATTGCTTCAAACTAAACGTCTGAAGGCCTTGGGAAAATCGTTTTGATATTGGCTTCCTAGAAGTTGCCGGATTTAAACTTTAAGGCTAAATATCAGGGGTTCTAAGTTTACTGTTATCATCAATCAACCAAGCTTTGGACTACGTACTGTGTTATGAATTTAAGTCAGAGAAGTATTCAACAAATCCTGTCATCAAACCATGATCTTGAGGGTTTGTTGCTGCCTTTTGTTACTAGTTCATGTGACTCACAATTAGGCTTACTTCTAAAATGCTCCGTTTAGAACATGAATCCAGCTAAAACATAAACCAATCTATTCTAATCTCAGTCAGTAACAAAGCCATACAGATCATCTCACCATTTAACACTCACCCTTTTCTTATATTTGGATAAAAATACACACATAGGTGGCCTCCCCATCTCAACTGATAGTAATAATAATAATCACACCCAGCTCCAACTAGTTGTTTCTTTGCTATTCAGCATTATAGACGGTAAATTTGTGTTGGTACAATAACCATACTACAAACCTTTTAATTTTTAATTGTAGCCGGTAAAGACCCTGCTGCAGACACTGTAAGGTAACAATAGTACAGACTGACTCAGTTGGCAGTTTTATTGAGTAAAGAAACAATCTGTTGCCATTTGTCCTGTTCATTAAAAGCTGGATACAACTGTCTTTTACTTTGTGGACATCCCTCAAATTTTCAGGCAATGTTTTTTATCAATAGGCTACAATATATTATAAAAAAAGGATATCTAAAAAAATCTCAATGCTTGATCTGTTGGTACAGTAATCAAATAAATATAATGTTGTTTATTCTTCCAGGGGATCACGGAGGTGCCAGTGAAGAGGAAGTGACCAGTGCAATGTTCGTCTACTCCAATCGAGCGTTTATCAAGGATATTGATCCAGTAGAAGAAGTCCGTCAGGTCGACCTTGTGCCTACTCTGGCGTCAATAATGGGAACTGCAATCCCGTTTTCCAACCTTGGAAAAGTTGTTGTCAATGTTTTGCCTTCATTCTCACTCAAATCAGATCTTTCTAGTAACTGGGAATATATCCTTATCGCTCTATGGACTAACATCAAACAAGTTACGTTGTATATCCAAGAATATGCTAAAACAAAAGAGGAGTTCCCTACTGAAAAACTTGCTGAAATAACGGACGTCTACAAGAAACTGAGATTGCAAGTCGAGGGTATAAGTGGTGAGGAAGAATTGTTAATTTTCATTAACGATTCAACACTGTTCATGCACGATGTTAGAGAAATGTGTGCACAAGTATGGGCGCAGTACGATACAATGGCAATGTCGAGAGGGTTAGTTTTGTACTTTCTGTTGGTAGCGTTTGCTTTCATTGTAATTGAAGGAACTCCGATCCATGAGCTAGATGGGATCATAGATTGTGTACTGATTCACGCTGCTTACGGTTTAGTCATAATCTCTTTGGTCGTGCTCGGTTTGTTGAGATATCTGGACGTTTTGCAGGATGCAGAACAACTGGTTTATTTTTGTGTGTGCACCCTCTCAGTAGTATGCTTGTGTATTATCGTAATCATAAACTGGAGTTCCATTGCCTGCCATTGGTACGAGATGAGTAAATCGTCAAACTTGGCAAGTGTATTCTGTAGACTCATTACGCTATTCAGTTTCGCCGGACTTTTTTCTAACAGTTATATTATCAACGAAACATTTACGTGTCATTTCTTACTGATCTCTCTCGTTTTTGTGTCCATGTTAGAAGTGAAAGGTGAAATCCCCAAAAAGGTTGCAAAGACTTTTGAATTATTACAGTCGTTAAAGTCCTTTCTTTTTACATCCAGAGGTAAAGCTCTGTCGTTAGTGTTTGTTTTGTTTCTATTGCTGAGGATTTCCGCGATCTACATAGTGTGTCGAGTCGAACAAAACTGTGTGCTGTCTAAGCCGTTACTGACTGAATCGTCGAGGTGCTTGTTGACGATAGTGTTTATCGCTGTGTTCATCACTGCCGCTCGTTTGTACCTGCGTAGTTGTGGGAACCTCGTGGGGTTCTCGCCTACAGTATTTGTCTCGCGCTACGCTCCTACGGCCATCGTCATCGCCACAGGTGGGTTCTGGATTCTACAGTCGCTTCCTCACAAAACCCAACACAAACTGTTAGAGCCGTGGCAGCTGCAGATACTGCCCAGGACCGCCATGTGCCTATTGATCGTCGGTCTGTCCACTCTGTTTATCCGTCCACTCAGTGTTTACCATGTGAGTCGTCACAGCAACAACTTCATCCCATATGACAACATCATACCTGCTCTTTTCAACCAACTCAAGGAGGTAAACCATATAATTACTAACTTACTTTTGATTACTTTGTTTACATTAATCCTTTGCACTTCAAAGGCTGATATTATACCCAAGCATAAAATGGAACCTAAGAGTTTGATTCTTGTAGCCTTTAGAATTGCCAAATAGTAAAATAATCGAGATAACATAGGCTACCTTAAGTCCAAGCAGTTCCTTTTCTAGAACATAGACTATGTATACATTTTGAGTTTTACTAACCCATTGTCAGGGCTACAGAAATGTGAAACGTGAATCAGAATTTTACTTCATACAAGAATTTTTTTGTATTTGAAAATCGCTTTAAGACAAAAACATCTCTATTGATTGTTTTCCATCGGCCTATGTTTTTTTTTCTGTTAACCTACTTTATTTTGCATTTGATGTTTTAATCAGCTAGGCTTATTGTTTAGGGAAAAGAAAATCAACTTGAAGGTGATTCTTTTTTATATATTTTATGTTTTAGACACTTAACAATCACTAGTTTTAAGATTTAGATAAAAAATATGTTGACACTATTTCACGTATGGTACCAATCCGTACATTTTATGAAATAAGGATGATGAAAACCATTTCTTTGCAGATTCGCTATTTTTGAATAAATTACATACATATAAAAACATTGAAACACAAATTATACTTTAAAAAAATTTAAAAGCTAGTAATTTTGTATCAGTTGTAGAGCCGGTCAGCAATAGTCTACGATAGAGATTTACTTGGTACTAAATAACATTTTTGTACAGGTGATGGTGCGGCGCACAGGCAGTGATGTGAAGGGTTACCCTGTAGTGTTTGGACTGGCCACTGTCTACAGTGCTTGTTACATCAATGTGTCTGTGCTGCTGACTCTGCTAGCCGTGCTACTGCTTGGTTCCGAGACTGCTGCTGCTGCCGTGCTGATGACGTTATCTCTTTGGACACTGGCTGTTGTCACTGCCATTTCCCGCCAGAACAAAGGTATGAACATTGGATCTTTATGTTTTCTACATTCACCCAAACTTCACATCGGATTCAAATTAGAGATATGCTCAATAGTAGGGATGGATAGGTCTCAACACTTTGGGAAATTTTCAGGAGAAATAAATTTTTGAGGTAGCAAGCTTTTCACAGTTTGAACAACGAGACGATGATGATATATCCGTGAAGAGATGTTCTCGATTGCATTGCAATTGCAGAAGCTGTTCATGATGGTGCCACAATCGCGGGAGATAGTGACGACGAGCTATGTCTTAAATGTTGTTGTAAACGTGGGACATCAAGGGGATGGCGTTGTGACCTTGAGACATGTTGATGATGGGGTAAATGGTGTCCATGGCGCCTTGATTTTTTAAATATAAATCATTTGCCATTGAACTGAACGATCAGCCGTTAACATTTAAACTGTTATAAAGAAAGTTTGTCAGTATCGCCAAATCTTTTAATCCAAACTCTACAAATAAATCAAAGGCTGGGGGGGGGGCAGGCCCTAAAAAATCATAACTAACAAATCTTTGTTTGTTTACATCGGTAAAATTCAAGAAAGATAGTAAACAATAAACATTCTTTTTGTGTAGTAAACAATATAATGATCAATTTTGGTAGGGGATAAACATACAACGGAAACAGTTTATTTCACAGTAGTATAGCAAAATATACAATATTCCTCACTCATAAAGTAATTAAGTAAGCAGTCTAATATTCCAATGACAGTAAGTGGTTACAAAAGAAAACATAACCTCTCAGAGAAGTTACGAGCAGTGATTGTCAAGTCACTAAATCTTTAGGAACGTATTACCGATTTAGATTCTATTGTTTGTTAGGGTAGTAATGGGGAAAAACGTGCGTCACTTGTCCGGTAAACACTTACCTATTTACCGGACTAGTAACGTAAAATAATATATTATTTAGTTACCTGTGCAGGGGTTGCCTGTGAAGTGCCGTGGTGGTGTGTGGTCGCCTGGGGCCTCTCCAGTATCCACTTCTTTTACGCTACGGGTCACCAAGCTTCCTTCTCCACTATTGACTGGAAGTCCGCTTTTCTGCTATCGCCCAACTCAGAGTTGTCGTCGTACATTGTCCCAGCTGTCCTGGTGAGTTATTCTGACCATTGACCAAAGACATTCCATCCCCATTTCAAAGTTGCTAGATTGAAATCAAAATGGATGAACTGAATTTAGCGAATACATCGACCTTTCAACCAAGTCCAGCTGATAGGACAACTTATTGGATCTTATAATTAATATTTTTTGTCACATCTACTATGTCAGCAACAAGATCTAAGGCAAAAAAGTTTAAATCTAAGACCCTGGGAAAGAGTCCAAACTAGCACAAGAAACATAAAGCATTGCACTTTATCCGCAAAATGTTAGAATATTTCGCTGTCACTGGCAGCATTTTAAAGGAAGAGAGATTTTAATGATTTAATGGTGGTCAGGGAAATAATTACCTCCGTACCAATAGTTGTTTCATGATGAATGGCTTGAACTGGTTGGTATAAATGAAGTAATAAAGGTTTTAGTTACCTGTTGTTTGTCAAAACTATCCGTTGTAGTACAATTAACTGGAGTTATTTCAGGCTGTCTGAAATGGAGCACATCGTCAGGTAAGAATTCCAAGCTAACCATAACACCACCATGGATTTTGTTGGAAGATTTAAATAACTAAAAATAAAACATGGCACAATTGTTAACGTTGACAAAACGAGACATTTCTTAGAACCGTTCGAACACTGACTGAACTCGAGATGAGGTGACGGTAGAAGGTATTTTGCTCCACGAAGAGGGATAATTAGCTGGACATTCAAACCTGATTATGCTAGCCATGAAAGGTAACTTGATGCAACTGCTGTTAATTATACTACAGTACAGCGGTTCGTTTAGACAGATAACAGGTACTGTAACTTAAAACATCCTTATTTAAGCTGGGTTTTCCTAGGCGAGGAGAGAGGAACGCGGAGAGCTGACTCCTCTTGTCTTAGGTAATTTAATGTTACTGTTTTCCTTGAAGCGGAGCGGAATGCCATGTTACTCGCTTTTCCGCCCTCTGCCCTCTGCTCTCTTCTTCTCGATTCCTCTAATTTGTTTATCCTGGGAGTGCTGAGGAATTGGTTGTTCTCAATGTGTCATGACTGTAGTTTTGATACTGATCTCCTGTAATTGTGTCAAAACCATGATCAACATGATCATGATGCGCAGTAAGATTAGACTAGGCAAAAAAAGCTTGTTTGATGTTTCTTGATACAAAATGGTCATTCACTGGTGCGCTCATCCTATTTGAAAATTGGCTACTGCTGGTCTACTACATCCAAAACCAAGTGCTGTAACTAACTGCTGATCACTGTTTCAGGTCATAGGCAATGTTTTCTCATCTCATATTCTTCACGCCACTTTGTTGCCGTTGTTGGTGATTGTGCCGCAGACTCTTGCTTCATCCATGCATGATGCCAAGAGAGCCGAACTCAACCTGTTTGAACGTGACAGACAGATGAATCGGGCCGTTTTCAAGTTAATCATACAATATATGCTGTTTTTCAGTCTTAGGGTGAGTTTAGGCTTTTCACTTTTTGGCTGCATTGTGTAAATCAGTCTACAATGAGTAAAATATTTTTGTCACACTGAAAGCAAGTGATTTCTAGTCTCTTTGTAGACTTGGACAATGTCGCTGTTTGAAACAGATAAGGAAAATTAGCTCGATGGAGTTCAGTAAAATTACCGAGCACTTTTTCAAAAAGGCATGTAAGCTTAACTCTTTAGACAAATGGAATTTTACATATTCTGCAGGTTTGCTGTGGCGGGGGAATTCAAAAAAAAAATTTTTAGTGTTATAAGACGTATCTTTATTTGCTTTCCGTATTAATATATAGAAGATTTAGTTATGAGTGGTTTGTTAGCATGATAACTCAAGCAAAAATCGTTTGTCAAGGTAAAAACATGTTAACCTACATTTATTTGCACGAGTTTGCAAACCAGCATGATCGGGCAACAGAAATGGGGTTTTACAGTGTAAAAATGTAATTTCCCCTTTTTTCCCCTGAAACTTAACATTTCATAATATCTTCCTAAACCATTTTGTAAAGCTTAAAAAACGTACAATTTACTATTTTGAATTTGTTTGCACACCTTAATGATTATGGAGAGAGTCCCCCAAAAAGTCCATGTTATTCTTATATGTAGCCTAGGTTAGTTTGCTTGTTTTTATAAATGTAAATCAAATTTGGCAAATTTTTTTATTTAATACTCATTTTATTAACATTTCAATAAAACAAACTTTATTGCCTTGCCTGTTGCAGCAAACCTAAATACTGGTTAATTTAATGTTATTTAAAAAGAAAATAAATGTTGCAATTTTAAGGGAATACTTTAAGGGAAATTCAGCCAGAAAAAATGCAGCAAAAATCTTTTGTTTTAGCGAATTTTCTACATAGGGAATAAGCTATTACCGTAGTTATCATGACCTGGAACCAGGACTAATTTAAGCAAAATTCCCTTATTATAGGAAATATTATCAGAACTTAGCAAATTTCCCATATAGAGATACTTAATACTATGATACTTTAATACTTAAATGAATACTTATACTTTTAAATGAAATGACGACCATACAAAGTAGGTATTTTGATATCATGGTAAGATCTAGACCCAGAATAAATTTAGTTTTAGTTTTAATTTTACCCAAAAACCAAAAATACTATGCGTTAAAATTTTTAAATTATGTCAGCAAGATAACTCAACTAACGAGTTTGCAAACCAGCTTTTTAATTTCTTACTCACAAACATAAAATTTTGGAATGTAGTTCTAAACCAGGTTGAAGAGCTAAAACAAGTTATTTTAATAATTTGAAACACTGTTACATCTTAATGCTACGGGGAAAATTCCATAAAAAGTCAATTTTAAATTCTCGTTTTATTCTTATAGAGAATAAACTGTTGTACTTGATTTGCTCGTTAATTGGTGTATTTTGATTAAATCTTTTTAAGGAAGCTGCTAAGTAAAGATTGAACTATGGTAATTCACCTAGTATGCAGGTTTGCGGCGGCGGTATTTTTGACTTTTGGTTCCAGGTTTAACATTATTCACAAGACTCTTTTTTAAATTAGTGAATTTTTGCAGGTGTTTGGCTGCATGTTAGCAGCCAGTATACACGCCCGCCACCTCATGGTGTGGAGCATCTTTACACCTAAGTTGATCTTCGAAGGTATCGGGTTTGTTCTCAGCCTTCCCTTCACAATGGTTGGGTTTTTCTTGCTCCAGAGGATAACCACGAGATTAGACTCTATGCTCCAAGACATCCAACGGTAATCTACTGCACAAAACCTAGTACTGATAAAGTGTTTATTGATGATGGTTTATCAAACTTGATTTATTTGGAAAGATCTCTTGTATTAGGAATACATTGAGGAATTGATACACAACGAGCTTACCCAAAAAAGAGTTCCAGCAGTTGACAAAACAAAAAGTTCACATTCACAACACAATTATAAATTATGTTGTAGATTCATTAATTGTGTATTGAGAACATGTGTGAAGTATTTTCTTTGGTTAGTCGTGTATCCATAACTTAATATTTTTAACTTGACTCTAAAGGAGGCTTCTTTATCTCCTAAGACTAAAACAAAAAGAACTGAAATTTGTCACAGAAGTTACAAGTATTTATTCGATGAACACATAAGACCAATAGATGGAGCACACCTATCTAACTAACATTCAAGCAGCTGAAGCCTGGTCCGCCATCTTACTGTAGGATAGAAGCACTAGATGTCGATGAAAATGGCACCAAAACTCAATGTTCCGCTTCAAAATAACTCGACATTTAGCATACTTAGACTAAAGTTATATGGTTGAAACTTCGTATGAGTGAAGTCAATAAATCTAGAACACTATTAGTTTTAATTAAAAGCTTAAGAGTTGATAAAAGAGTTTTGAAATATGACATGAAATAGTTTGTCGACTACTACTTTTTTTATTTTTTGGAGTGGTAAGTTAAAAAACGGTGGATTTTGTAGCTAAGGAGTTAAATGTTCTGGATCATATTTTTTTTTTAATTTTTAGCTGCTATAGTTTGCTTGTAATTTGGTTATACCATAGTCGATACACGGCACGGCACATATTTTCACGGATATTATTGATATCAACTAACATTAAATTTAATTAGATGCGCTAGCTACTAGGGCTCATCACAGCCGGCATCCGCCATCTTGTTGTAGATTAGTGAAAAATCCTGGCTTCACATCACAGCCAACGTGCTCCATCTATTGGTCATATGTGATCGCTGTATTTATTACAGGTAGAAAACCAGTGATTGTCTTTTCTTTGTTTTGGTTTCAGTATCTGTAATTTTGGACAGAGTAAGCAGTCTGTTTGCCCTTTGTAATGTTTTAACCAGGTAAACTAAAATATTTTGTTGCTAAAACTGTATGCTAATAATACCCCCGCCGCAGCAAACCTGCCGACTAAGCGAATTTCCATTTGTCTGAATTGATTTTCAGTTGAATATATTTTAATAACATTAGGTTTAACGAGTACCTAGGTTTGCTGCTACAAGGAAACTAATAAAGTGTGTTTTTGAGTAAAATATTAATAGCTTAGTACAAAATAAATAAATTTGCCAAGTTTGATCAAAATATATCCATAAACAAGCAAACTACAACATTTGACAATATTCTCCATAAGAATAACATGGGAATTTTAAATTCACAATTTTTTTAATTTTCTCCGTTACTAATAATCGAACAAAAATACTTTTATATACTAAATTATTTGTTTTTTTAAGCTCTTTAAAAAGGTCTAAAGAGAAATCGGGAAATTTTGTGTTTTGAGGGTCAAAAGTGAGAAAAACCAATTTTTACCCCATAAAACCCCCCGTAAAGCCCCGTTCCCATGGTCCGATCGTGCTGGTTCGCGAAATCATTCAAGTTTATCCCGCTTTACACCTTTAAACCAAATTTCATCAAAATCGGACAAAAATTACTCAAGTTATCGCGTTCACGGACGTATATATATATATATATATATATATAAGTCTATATATATACATATATAAAAATTTGAACGAATAGTGTTTTTGGCCTCTGGGGACATCAAAATGAAAAAGTAAATCGGTCTTGGGTCTAGGTCTTACCGTGCCACCTACGGTAATAGCTACTTCCCTATAGGGAAATTCGCTAATAGGAGTTCCAGCCAAATTTTAAGTAAGGCAACAGAAGTTTCAAATGCTGTCATACTTACCCACAAACATTGTTGAATATTTTATTTTGCTATAACTAAAAGTGGAGTCGATACCAAATAAAAATCTGTGCGTTTTTCCATACCCTTTACAGTTCCAAGATTTGAGATTTGATTTATCAAGCAAGAAATAGAAACGAGAGTACATAGTTTGTACTTTGATCTTGAAGAAATTAGAAAACTGCACAGATTGTAAATATGTTTTAATAATGAATACATTGTGTGCTCTTTTTGGAAATCCTCAAACAGTTAGTTTAAAAATATATATATAAACCTTGTTTTTTCCAAATTACTAATAAATAACTTGAATTATTCTGGGGGAGTGTTAAAGTAGAGGAAATGGGGCTTTTTTACATTTCTATTTGATGTGAAGAACTTTGTTATCTCAGTTGTGTGTGGCAAATGATAATCACCTTTTTTCAGCTTAGCATTTTTTTACTTTTTTGTTGTAGGATATTTTTAAATATTAATGTTAGGATCTTGCAGACTATGTGGAGCTTTTTAGTATATATGGAAGACATAACACCAATTATTATGTGTTTAAAATATCTAAAGTTGTTTTATTAAACATTATCTTGCAAATGATAAACTGTACGTCAAAGTAAAGCATTGACTGTTGGATGTTATAATTTTGGGTTTCCAACTGGGAAGGTTGATACAGTCCTATAGTTCATGTTGAACATGTTATATTTATTTAGTTGAATTAACATACGCTTGGAAACTGACTGCAGGACTCTTGTGAACCACTTTTTTAATCAGCTACCTACAAGTATTATAGCTATTTTTGTTTTCTTTGCATCTATGTGACTATTACAATCACCTTCGGGTAACAAAATTAGTGATTATGTTCTCTATGTTATTTCACATTGAAATATTAGGGTGTTTATAGTTGTTATGCTTAAAGTGTCAACATTATTTAACCATTTACTATAATTAATTATCTGGTTTAAGAAAGGACAAATTACTGTGGTTTAAGGAAAATACATAGGTGTGCTATTCTAGTCATATGCTGACGTCACTCAGATTGCAAACACCATTTTACCATTTAGAAAAATTATAAAAACAATAACAAATCAAAACAAATATACACTTGTATGGCAATACAATCAGCTGATTTTTTGTTTGCAATCTGGGTGACGTCAGCTTATGACGGGAATAGCACACCTATCCGTAGCTCTTATAAAAAAAATGGAAGAGTTTTAAATTTGTTTAGCAGTTATTTATCTATCGATAAACAAAGTTTTATTAAAATTCATGTTTTGCAAGTAAATTTCAAATTAAAAAAAAATATATCATAATGTTGAAGGATTAAGTAATGTTTTAATTGTTTTGCATGGAAATATTTTAAGAGATTATATTACTGTTTAGGGTTCACTATTGCTTGAAAATCATAATTTCTTTAGTAGCAGCTCTCTTAGATAAAGTAGAAATGTAAAGGTAAACATTGTATTGTTTTACGTTTAATCTAAGTAGAAACAAGCTGAATTTACTGTTTTTAAAACTTTTGCAATCTTCTACTAAATTTCCAAATCTACCAACAACTTTTTTTACTTTTGTCATAAACTTTTTTTACTTTTGTCATATTGTATAGTTATTTGTGTAACTAGTGGTGAAAGTGGCACTTTGCTGCACACGAGAGCAATGTTAACGCACGAGCCGCAGGCGAGTGCGGAATGATCTCGAGTGCAGCAAAGGCCCTTTTCACTCGTGTTACACATTATATTTTTCCTACAGTCACTATAAAGCATATAAATAATTAGTCTTTCAAACACTATACAACACGTTTTTAGGTTCAGCTGGCAACACAAATGGTGCCATAGAGAAAGTAGTACCCGCGGTTCGTATCACTCCGCTATTTTTCCTCGGCAAGAAATGTGCTCCGCGTTTTGAAAATATAGTTCCGTATGTTTTTGTAATTTGAAGTGGTTTCCGCACCTAAAAAAAATGCTTTAAGGGTATTTTCATGTTTATTAAGATCGTAGGAATGTTTTAAAAACGTTTAAAAGAAAAGTCCAGAAAGTTCAGAAATACCGAAACTATAAACACGAAATGACAGGTTAAATCGTAGTTATAATAGTCAATCAGCTGCTCATAGTATAATTATCTTTAAGTGTTGCCAACCTATTTCCAAGCGTACACGGATTACGTGCATAATAGAACCACGCTGTTTTGTGTTGTTTCGTTGGAATCCTGATGTGCGGCAAAGTATAAACCGTACGGCAAAGTATAAACCGTACGGCAAAGTATAAATATGCAGCAATTAGCAGCTTTCTGTACTATAAACAGTACAAGGAAGCCAACTTTGTTGGGTGACTGTAGGAAAAATCTTTTTTTCGTAAGTTTTGTGATTTGAGTGTTCACAAGAACAGTTCATTGGGTACTAAATGTTTAGTAGCGAGATTGACACCCACTACAACCTATGGTTTGTAAAATAATGTTTAGTGAAAGATGGCCTCATTTTTCTGATATGTTCTAGGGAAGCCTCTTTCACAAAATATTTCTCCTTGTTTGTAAATGATTTGTCACAACATAAATTAGTGAAGGATATGGTAAAAGAATAAATTGTTATTTATAATTAATTGTGTGCAATACTTTGGTTGAGTAATCAATGTAAAATGTATTGGACAAGAATGAGAACAAAATATTGTGTTAAGAAATCCTACGAAATGAGAACTGCTGCAAATACTTTAATGCTGTCTAAGTGAATATGGTATTTCTGAATTTTAGCTTTTTCGAGGTTGGATTATATTTATACAAAACTCTGGTTTTGTTATTTACTAAAAACAAAAACTAAGGTAAAACCTCACTAACTCAATCATTTGTGGACATAAAGATCATCATCGTTTCCCACGGTCACGAAAACATCATCGTCGTCTTGTGCAATCACAGCAATAGCGGTAATTTCCTGATAGTGTGATATTCTTAGACGAGTCGGGTATCAATATCGGAATCGACTTTTGACGATCGATTCTCGATACCGATACCAATGTGCAAGTATCAGTGGTATAGAGAATTTACACTTTGAATAAATAAACATAAGACAATCTTTTTCTTATAAATTTGTTACTTAGATGAGTATTTTACATATTGAAAAAAAAAATCTTCAAAATTTTTTTTTTATATTCAACAATTAAAACTAAATTTTGTGCAAAAAATGTACTTTTTTGTGTTCTCCCCTGTTGACTATCTAATTACACATTCTGTCAAGTTACCGGGGGGTCAAGTTAGTGAGATTTTACTCTATATATTATAAGAAAGTGCTTTATAATATTTGCTTCAATTTACTGCACTCGTAATGAAACTGATTTATTCAAATATTGCTGAAATAAAAAACCTTGTACACATTTTGTTTGGGATCTTATCAACAAATAAATAGGTATAAATTATTTGAACTGTCACAACAAATTCATTTTTAAAATTTTTTTTCACGTTCAAAAGTTCAGTGAAAATTATTCTAAATCACAGAGCTCAATGTTGTTTTTTATGTTTGATGCTACTCCTACTAATGGTGGTATCTTTGAAACCTTTATGCTGCCTGCCCAAATCCTTTTTTGAGTATTTATTACACCTAAGCTAAGCCTGTTTAACATGTTCAATAATTCAACTTGACAATTGCAATTGCCATAACAGCTGATTTGATTCACTGAACTGACACGAATACACACACTATTAAATTGCTGGCTTGGACATTTCTATACTGTTTACATCATATTTGTTCACATTAAATTGATAATGTGAATTGATCATGAGTAGGGGGCTTTATCTAACATTTAAAGCTGTTAAGAAAATTAAATTATTTACTGTTTAATTATTTTCAGTGTATATACATACAGTGTTCTGTAGGTGTCTTGCCAAGTTTTCACTGCCATTTTAGATTTAGTTCACATATATTCATACTAGGCTCTTCCAGTGTAAGTAGATACTCCTTAGTGGATATAATGAAAAATTGTGTGAATCATATCTTGTTCTTTGTTTAAAATGTACATAACAGTTGATAATTAGTATATTTGGTTTTTTATATGTTTGAAATATTGTTTTTTGTTGACGGAACAGCCCAAATCCTGCTTTTGTTACTACTTATGACCTCTGTTTTGTTAGGTATAATTGTTGATTGGTAGTTAATTATTAAAATTAGCATCTGGGTCTAGAATCATATTGATGGAATTTGGAAACAAAAAAATATTTTGTGGGATGATTATCCCAACGCATACAAATTCCCTGCTGAGGGTTGTTGGAATTCTCAATTGTTTAGAAGCACATCTGCACATTGGGGTAGTGGATTTTGTGCATGTCTTATAAAAGACAATATTTAAAGACGAAATTTACTAGAATTTCCAGACTGTGAAAAAACA